AACCCCTTGTCGGTAAGTTTTTGTATTTTTCCCGCCAGCGATGAGTGTAAGCCGACGTGCTGGAAGAGGGACGGCTTGTGTATGAATTTCTTCTCGGACGCTTGCACGATGTGCAGAAACGAGAAAAACAAGACATCCACCGGCGACTCCTGGTAAAACAGCATAATAAGATCGGCCAGACGCTGGAGATCCGAGGATCTGAACAACTTTCCGATAAAACCGAGTCCAGAAAACTCGAGCACCGTCCAGTCAGAAGACTTCATTCTTTCCAAGTATTCTTTTATCCCTGTCAAGAAGTTCTGGGCGGAAATAACATCATCTTCCAGTTGCATATAATATTCGGACAAGTTTCGGCAGTATTGGAACAGGAACGCGTAGTCCACGCACTGTTTAGATCGCCAGCGCACGCGTTCAGGACTGTCTTTAAACTTAGTTTTCAAATTTTCGAAACTTGGATAAAACGACCGCGGGGCCTGGATGACTTGCATGCACCCGCTGTTGAGATGCCGAGAATACCTGCGGGAAAGTTCCGTGGAAAGTTCCCTGTTGTAGTCTGTGTCGAAGTCTGCCAGGAAGACCACGATGACGACCTGTTTGCGTTCAGCCTCTGTCGTGTGGCTGATCAGGGACTCTAGAGTTGTGGTCAGATACGCGGCGTTCTGGTCCCGCTTAACAGTGGGGATCCCTATAGTTAGAAATCCTGGAACAAATAGAAACACAGTACGTACGAAATAAGGATTTGTTTTCATACTAGTAGGAGTAGGTTAGCAATGTTCGAGGGTCAAATTTGACTCAAATTTAACTCAAATTCGATTCGACTCATACAGAAAGGTAACTGTGGCCTAAATCTTCGGCCAACCTTCTGGTTGGGGAAGGTTCTGAGTATGTGACAGGGACATACTACTACCGGTTAGTTACGACTTTGCCACCGAAAGATCTGCTTGTAGATTAGTAATCATCTCCTGAGTACCTTTGTCTGGACGTAGACTGCCCGCTAATCGTACGGAGTCGGCGACGGCACCAGGCGGGCTGACCGGGTTGGCAGGAGGTGGGGAGGAAGTTTTGTACTGCAGGGCAAGATGTTAAAGCTGCATTATGAGAACGATGCAAAAAAGTAAGTAAATCTAGTCATCTCTTTACAAAGCAAGTTGAATCAACTCTACATTGCAAAGAAGTTTCATTCAAGATGTGGAGGTGCCAAAATATGTATGACCTTATACTTAACCCAGTGTGTGTGTGTGTACAATAAAGGTCTTCATTCATTCAATAAAGTCTTGGATATATACTTAGCCTTGCACCTGGACGCTCACCTGGACATGGTGCCCCATAGAGGGTTTTGCCCAGTATTTGTAAGACTAAGACCTTTACGAGTGTGTTTAAAACCTGTAACAGTGCATCTATCAGTCATGTTTGTTTTCATTCTGGTAGTACATTCTGATAGTACAATGTACATTCTTTCTACAATGTCAATTACCTTCTCCTTACCTGTTGTATGCGCCGTTCCATTCTGCGTCTGTGTCCGCGGAGTGTCTCGTTCATGGAGGCTGACAGCATTTCTCTCTGGCACGGTTCACAAGTCTGGACGGCTTTCCCAAGGTCAATGTGTGACGTCACGTTCTGAAGTTCCGTACCTAGGTACGTCGAAGGAACATTAGTGTCAGTCTGACTACATCATGCTTCTATGAAACTCCCACCCCACCCCCCACCCCCACACACACACTCACGCACACGCTTCTAGCAGCCATGTGTATGTATGTTTGTATGTGTGTGTGGGGGGGCGTCTATGTGTGTGTGTATGTTTGTATGTACATGTATGTATGTATGTATGTATGTATGTATGTATGTGAGTGCGTATGTGTCTGTGTTTATCATAGTGTGTGTGTGAGAGAGTCTGTGCTTATCTGTATGTATGTATATATGCATGAATGTACTATGTTATGTTTGTGTGTGTGTCTTCCTGTGTGTTTATGTATGTATGTGTGTATGAGCATGTGTGTGTGTGTATGAATGTGCGCGCACGTGTGTGTGTGTGTGTAGATGTTAGAGATTCGTACACTCACCTGTTAACATCCAAAAGTTGAGGAACATCGACACGACCATGCAGACCAGTACGACTTGTCGCAGAAACATCATCCGGCGTATCCGAGACAAAACCATGATCCAAGTTCTCGTCTGCCTATACAAGATACATGGATAGCACTTGCTATTTTGTATACATATCACTTATTCAGCGGACATACAAGTAAAGGCAAGGCTTGTCCGACTGGTCTTGCACCAAAGCCAAGGTCGGCATCAGGAGGACTCGGACCATTGGTAGACCGACCGGTTCAGTCGTATAAGCGTTATTTCGTTCCAAAAGAAGGCGTCTCTTACACCGTTCCGTCTGGCCCATGGCACTTTTTATTCCAAGTCATGTTTACCTGTAACGTTACACCTGCCAACTGACAACATCATCCATCAGCCTTTGTGCGAAAGTGTCTTTTGTGCTGATCTACTACTACAGTTGACTGCCCTTTGACAATGAGACAAAATAATAGGCAAAGGTTTGAAGAACATAACTTGAGACGTGTTTGATCTATGAGTTAGATGAGTCTGGCTAGAGTGGGCGGGGGGGGGGGGGCAATGTAGGGGGGTCCGGGAGGCATTCTCCCCAGGGAAATTTCGTACCCCAGGCACGGTTTGGGACACGCGCCGAGTGTGTTGTCGTGTTTTAAAAACACATGAAATTTCCTTTATGCTTGCAATAGTATTTTAAGAGGAAGACATTCTAGAAAGTTCTGTAAGTGTAAATCTTAATGAAATTGTCAGAATGTGGCTGACTGTGTGTCAACCAACTGTCTGTTTGACAGGATCGTCGCCATTTTGTAATGTCTAATGACGCGTGAACTAAACATATCGAATCCGACAATCTTTTCAACAATTTTCCAACTTTTTATATATTATTGTTATAGCCCAAAATACATCCTGGTGAAGTAAGGGCACAGAGAAGAAGTTGATTGACTCACCTCAGTATGGAAGTAAGTTATCTTAAGTCTGCAAACACCTTAAAGTCTCAGGGAGTCGTCTTAACTGTGTCTTTCATTGTGCCCTCTATGTCCTTGTCCGAAATTAGGTGGTTGGACGACTCTGCTAACCATGTGAACACAATGAGTGACACGTGATACCAAGGACATTTACATGTATAGAGCCCTTGCCCTTTGTGTTACTCTCTAAACTGCTATCAGGGCTCAACATCCTTTTTTATTCAGCTAATTTCTTGTAATTCATACCCATACCGACTTTTTCACCCTGAAAAACTGCAACTAGTCCATATTTACCTTCGCCAAGAAGGTTATGTTTTCAGGGGCGTTCGTGTGTGTGTCAGTGTGTGTGTTTGTGTGTGTGTAAACACGATAACTAGAGAAGGCCTTGATGGATTGTCTTTATACTTGGTAGGTGGGTAGGTCTTGGTGACACCTCAAAATGATTAAATTTTGGGCCACCTGGCGGTTTGTCATGGTACTGCAGCTGAACTTCCGGTTTTGATATCTCATGATCTAGACATGCTGGGGTCACGAAATGTACATGGTGGATAGCTCGTAAGCTCGGGGTGAAGTTACATGAGTTTGAGCCTTCTAGCAGCTTGTGATGGAACTGCAGAGGGTTTTAAAGGAAAAATGTTTAAAAGGAGGATAACTCAAGAGCCGATTGATGGATCATTGTGATTTTTTGTATGTAGGTAGCTTAAGTGATGCTTGACATAATGATATTACAATTATGCAAATATAGATGTAATTTGCATAATTAATGAGGAAATTCTATAAATCAGCTGCATTCCATGATAGGACTATTCAAGCTTGTGACATATGTTATTAAGAACGAGAGAAACATAGGCAGATATCGATTATGCAAATGAAAACTTTATTTGCATAATTAATTAGAAAATGTTAAAATTGCATAGTGATAACTGCCTGGAATTTCATACTTGGGGTGTTTGAAAGTTAAGTGAAGGTGAACAAATTTAAACATATCTTATTCAAAAAAGGACCTCATTTGCATAATTTATTAGGAAATGCTATAATAACATTTTTTGCTGGTGACGTCTTATTAACCTATAGTTTCGTAAGGGCGCACAACTACACGAACTATGGACTGACAATGGATGAGAGGCGTTACAGAAGCGACATCTGGCGTCCGTGTAAAACAGGGCAGGCCGGGCGTGACACAACCCTGCAGCTCTTCGAATGGAATGAAGAAAGCTCGTATGTGTTGGTAGAATACAAAGTTAACTACTTGTAGAGTTTAAACTTTGTACCAACACAAGAAGGAACTCACTCACTCCTGCTCTTGTTGGGATCAGCAGCTGACTACTACGAAATGTCGATTGCCAGAGGTAGTCCACAGAAACGTGGTTTTAGGGCAGTGCCTATCCGGGTAGGCGAGCGGTAATAACCGAACAACGTGTCCATATTCTAGAACGAGACCACACCGACATTCGGTCGAGGTACCTAGCTACGTCCTAAAATCACAGATCGAGTGGCGTAACGGCAGAGTGCTTGGCCCGGAACCAGGAGGTCCCGAGTTCAAATCCTGCCATGCCACCGATGGTGCTTTATTTCTTCACCGTCCAGACGGCGATTTCCCTCGCCAGTACCCACATCTTCTGCTCCCCCGTGACCGTCACCTTCAGACACTTCACCTCAACTGACCCCAGTCCTTCCGTGCCCTGAGTCGCCACTTCAAATCTTCCGTTTTCGACGTTTCCGAGTTTGACATAGTCGGCACAGTTCGGCGTGTTGTCCTGCTCGTTGACAGACAAAAGTCGCGGACTGACTTCCAGAGTCCCCTTCTCTAGGATGTCCTTTGGATGTTCTTCAGAGCCAGTTTCTATAACGATCCTGGAAAGTCTCGCTGGTTTCTCGAAAAGAACGACGAAAACTTGTCCGACCTTCGGCGCCTCGGCCCAGAAGTACCCCATCTCGGGGCCATAGGCAAGCTGCGGCTTGAACTCCCTGTAAGCGGTCATGTTCGCGCTCACCGCCGCTGGTGGGTTGTCAGAGTCCGTGTACGTTCTCTGAGGTGTCGTCGAGCCAACGAACCCCTTGTCGGTAAGTTTTTGTATTTTTCCCGCCAGTGATGAGTGTAAGCCGACGTGCTGGAAGAGGGACGGCTGGTGTATGAATTTCTTCCCGGACGCTTGCACGATGTGCAAAAACGAGAAAAACAAGACATCCACCGGCGACTCCTGGTAAAACAGCATAATAAGATCGGCCAGACGCTGGAGATCCGAGGATCTGAACAACTTCCCGATAAACCCGAGCCCAGAAAACTCGAGCACCGTCCAGTCAGAAGACTTCATTCTTTCCAAGTATTCTTTTATCCCTGTCAAGAAGTTCTGGGCGGAAATAACATCATCTTCCAGTTGCATATAATATTCGGACAAGTTTCGGCAGTGCTGGAACAAGTACGCGTAGTCCACGCACTGTTTGGATCGCCACCGCACGCGTTCAGGGCTGTCTTTAAACTTGGTTTTCAGATTGTCTAAACTTGGATAAAACGACCGCGGAGCCTGGATGACTTGCATGAGCCCGCTGTTGAGATGCAGGGAATACTTCTGGGAAAGTTCCGTAGAAAGTTTCTGGTTGTAGTCTGTGTCGAAGTCTGCCAGGAAGACCACGATGACGATCTGTTTGCGTTCGGCCTCTGTCGTGTGGCTGATCAGGGAGTCTAGAGTGGTGGTCAGATACGAGGCGTTCTGGTCCCGCTTAACAGTGGGGATCCCTATAGTTAGAAATCCTGGAACAAATGGAAACACAGTATGTACGAAATAAGGATTTGTTTTCATACTAGTAGGAGTAGGTTAGCAATGTTCGAGGGTCAAATGTGACTCAAATTTAACTCAAATTCGATTCGACTCATACAGAAATGTAGCTGTGGCCTAAATCTTCGGCCAACCTAGGTTGGTGGAGATCGGGGGGAGGTCCTGAGTACGTGACAGGGACATACTATTACCGGTTATTTACGACTTTGCCACCGAAAGATCTGCTTGTAGATTAGTAATCATCTCCTGAGTACCTTTGTCTGGACGTAGGCTGCCCGCTAATCGTATGGAGTCGGTGACAGCACCAGTCGGTCTGACCGGGTTGGCAGGAGGTGGTGAGGTAGTTTTGTGCTGCAGGGCAAGATGCGTTATGTAACATCAGGACTATTGATAATATTATGTAACATTCAATAGGACGACACAAAAATAAATTAACCTCTTTGCAGAGTAGGTAGAATCGACCATACATTGCAAATCATTGAAGTGCCATTCAGGAAGTGGAGGTGCCAAATATATGACCCATTACGAGTGTGCTTAAAACCTGGAAGAACACATCTGTCAGCCATGTTTGTTTACATTCTGGTACATGTAGTACATTCTGGTTGTAACATTCTTTCTAAAATGTCAATGACCTTTTCCTTACCTGTTGTATGCGCCGTTCCATTCTGGGTCTGTGTCCGCGGAGTGTCTCGTTCATGGAGGCTGACAGCATTTCTCTCTGGCACGGTTCACAAGTCTGGACGGCTTCCCCAAGGTCAATGTGTGACGTCACGTTCTGAAGTTCAGTACCTGGGTATGTCGAAGGAACATTAGTGTCAGCCTGACTACATCATGCTTCTATGAGACTCCCACACACATACTCACACACGCACACGCTTCTAGCAGCCATGTGTATGTATGTTTGTATGTCTGTGTGGGTGTGGGGGCGTCTATGTGTGTGTGTGTATGTATGTATGTATGTATGTATGTATGTATGTATGTATGTATGTGAGTGCGTATGTGTCTGTGTTTATCATAGTGTGTGTGTGAGAGAGTCTGTGTTTATCTGTATGTATGTATATATGACTGTACATGTACTATGTTATGTGTGTGTGTATGAGTATGATGTATGTGTGTGTATGTGTACGTATGTGCGCGCACGTGTGTGTGTGTGTGTAGATGTTAGAGATTCGTACACTCACCTGTTAACATCCAAAAGTTGAGGAACATCGACACGACCATGCAGACCAGCACGACTTGCCGCAGAAACATCATCCGGCGACAAACCATGATCTTCTGCCTATACAAGATACATGGATAGCACTAGTTATTTTGTATACATTATGAGCGTTTTGTTTTTTGTATACATATCATTTATTCAGCGGACATACAGGTACAGGTCTTGCACCGACTGGTCTTGCATCAAAGCAAAAAAAAACCCAACCAAAGTCGGTATCAGGACGATTCGGACCATTAGCAACTCGGCCAATGTGAACTCGGCACACTTAGCCGAAACGGATTGCCTACCTTGATAAAAAGGACAGAGGAGTCGTGAAGCTCTCGTCAGGCAGCTTTGCACACCTAACGTCCGGGTTATATAAGGACAGGATTGTATCAAATCATTTGCATTTACAAGATAACCATCTAGTATTATAAAAATAAAAAAAAACAGGCATAAGTAGGGAGGGTGATACTGACCTGTTGCGGTAGTTAAATGAGGCTGGCGGCTGAAATGCCCCCGGAAGCGAGACTAGGGTTGGTAGAAGTTGGTCAGCAAGACGTTGTGACCAGGTCGTATAACCAGCGTCACACTTTCGGCGACCTTGGGACGACTTCGTCCGTTGATCGCTAAAGGGTCGCCGGACTTCAAGCTAAACCACGACGGAGTCTCCTGAGCGTATGTTTCGCCTGAAAAATCTACCCTGTTACACTGGACGGCGTTCGATGACTAGTTTTCTAGGATTAACCTGGTCTTAGCTTTGTCTTATTTTCTGATTGGTTGTCTTGAATTTGTCTTCATCTCATTTACATATTAGATAATCACCTACATATTCCAGTGGTCACTGGCGAAAAGTAGTGGGTGCTACTTGAACGCAGTTTTCAAAATGTATCCAGTGCTTGAGTAACAGTTTTCTTGTGCATTACGATGGCTTCATCAAAATTCCACACAGGTGAAACAGCACGAAGACCCTTTATCCCTTTCTCATTCATCCTGTTTTAGGTTCTGCGCTGCAACGAAAACACCCTTGCGATTCTAAAAGAGGCCGCTAGAGGGTCCAAACTTGTGTCACTTCTTTCCGAGCACAAGAACTATCTGCCACCCAGAATCGTGACCGTAGCTTGTCCAGAACACGAGATAGAGAAACCGAAAGTTATCTACTCTCCAAGCAGAGGTTTGGGTTTTGGGGGTATTTTTAGCGTGTTTTTAGGCTTTTTTATCGGGGTTTTTCTTTTGCACTGAATTTTTTCCCCACCAAACCCAACTGTTGGGGGAGCAAAATTTTTTCGTTCCTTCAACAGGTGCTTATCTGAGCTGGTATTGGATACTAATAGTTCGTACATCCTCAAGTTTATTAGTCATTTTGTACTTCATACAGTCTGGGTATTTTGATTTTGTCCAGCGACACCTACTAGATTTGTTTTTATTTCCGAGACGTGACACTTACTCTCCAAGCAGAGGTTGTGGGGAATGATCGTTACCTTTTTATATATGGCCGTTTTTTTTTCTGATCCTCACCGTCGGTGGCCGCGGAGCTTCTCTGGCTAATAGATACTGCCAGGCCAATTTGATACTCTTTTTGCCACCGAGAGGGATCTGCTTGGAGATTAGTGACACTAGCGCCCCTTTCATAGCTTTAAGAGAACAAGAAATAGCCACGCATTCAAGTACCAGAGTTATCAACCAAGGGTTGAGGTGTTCAAGAATTCATTCTTTCCTAGAACTATCGCAGAGTGGAACTCACTGTCACCAAGTACAGTAGGGGCACTGTCAATAGATAGCTTTAAACAATGTCTAGAGCTAGAAGTTCAAGGGTTAGGTGGAACAAGTCGATCGGTGTAATATAGCCAGCTGCCGCCGCGCCGCGTGCCTGCGAAGCTGGTGTGTTACGCCGAAAGGCGGTTATACCGGCTATACAGATACAGATTAAAAGCTTTATTATTAACCACACACATCCGTGCTGTTCTGCGGACCTTGACTCTGGTGACATTCAAGTTAACACGTGATCTTTAGGCGATGGTTACAATCATAAGGCAAATATTATCACCATGGTAACTAACTCAGGTATGTTTGCAAAACCCCAAGCTAAGCATTTCTTTGGAGCAACAATACAGTCTGGAGAAAAAAGTGTGGATACCTTTAGCTTATTTTCTGACAAACACCGTCCGAAACCATGGCGGTGACACAGACTTTGGTAGTTGGTCTGTTGTCAGTCTTGTGGATTCTTCACGCCCAGCCGTCTGGTGCCCTGCCTGTTCAGGGCAAGGCGGGAAGCATTGGTACCGACATCCGAGTTTCCACGGTAGAAAACTTTATTTCTGTAGTAGCGCTTGAAAGCCTTGTCTTCGTAGTTTTTTTCAATCTGTCAATGCAGTGGTTTGTTTAAAAGTTCAAAATTCGTTGCTTTAATTATAAACCTGCCTAGGTATGTCGACTTCAGGGGGCTATCATAGGATGCATAGGTCTGCTTTTTTTTGCCTGTTGCTTTCTGCAAAAATCTGCAAACCAACAAATCAAATTGGTGTAGGCTATTAGGGACACAAAGGAGTATGGGTGAAGTCTGCCATACTATTAGAGATGGTTACTTTGAGAAAAAAAATCTATTTTAGATTTGCTTTGACAATAATTCAGTCCTTTGTGATACTTTCAGCCGCCGGGCAAACCTGACCCCAAGACCCCTGACCAGTTTTCTGTGAACGACACTTCAGACTCGGTAGTATCCGGAAAGCAGCACAGATCCTATCGAAACGATGACGGACCGAAAACGGGCCTGATCGCTGGAGTGACTGCCTCTGGAGCTGTGGTGTTCTTCATCGTCATCCCCTGCCTCATCTGGTGTCTGTGCCCAAAATACCTCCTGTGTTACTGCTTCATTTTGAGGTGTTGTTGTGCAGAGGACTTAGATGTTGAGGGATGTTAAGGTCACATATGTCAAGGGTACAATCGCAAACCCATGAGGACATGCTTCTGACAGCTGTGCATGTGTGACAAAAATTCATGTCTTGTGACCAAAAAGACTGTTTTTTAAGTCCCCCTCATTTAGTTAGACTCTGCCTCTTAGGGTCTAACTTGGGGCTGGCATGTGTACTGCCCTGTGAACAGCCTGGCATCCAGGCTATGTCTTTTAGAAGTGATCATTCTTCAACATGTTAAGCATTAACCTCAAATGCTTGATTTTTTTCTTTGGCAAGTTAGCAAGATGACTGCATTTCTTTTTTGGACAAAGAAAGTACAAGTTGTTCTCAAAAATCAAGAAACATACTGTTCTGATTTTTCAGAACTTTTGCAAACTGTGTTATTTTGTGAACTTTGCAAGCTTTTTGTCAGTCTAATTGCTGTTTTGTTCTGTGATGTATGTAAATGTGACTTAACCTTCTCCATGCCAGAGTAGCCATTTAGAACCAAATTTGCATTGGTTATAGCATTAGGCAGCAGGGAGAAGGTTAACACGTAGCTGAATGTGAAGCAAAATCAAAACTTCCTTTCTTTGTCCTTGGAATAAAAGGTAAATATATAACAATAACCATAACACATTGAGTTTCAGACATACATTTCAGTTTATAGATCTGTTTATACCTTAAGTGTTCAGTGTGCAGATAGACCAAGTACATTATACCTGACAAAAAGGTTTTTGCATACTATAGTTGGTGTAATGTGTACAATAAGTATATCCGGCTTGCCTGGTTGAATTATATCATCTTTACCAACTCAAAGTCTCAAACCAGTTAGTATCTGTCTTACAAACTCATGTTGTGTGAGGCGTTAAAAGATAGGGCTTCTTTATTCCACAGACATGGCATTCCTTCACAGAAACGTAACGAAACCAACTCTAGGCTGAACATAACTGTATAAGGAAGGGTGTGTTTATAATGTAAGACTTCAGATGTTTCTGGAGAGGTTGGTCACCACTTAAACCAGACCTTATCGCCTATGTCAGGGTTGAAACCAGGGGCAAATCGTCTTCCTGGGAGCTGTGGGTGGAAGATACAAAAAATTCTGTTAGTGCTTGGTACACTGGACTGAAAAAAAAAACACTTGCAAATTTTACCTGCACAATTTAAAAATAAGGAAATTGTTCAGAAACCATTGCCATTATTTCAGTCAAAAGTAAATGCCATAGTTGGTAATGGTCAATGTAGCAAATAAAAATGTACATAGACTTAAGAACCCAGTGCAGGCTAGGTTAGGTGCATGTAGACATCAGAAATACCTGCACAGCCCCCACTTTACCTGTACTAACCTACATATGCAGGGATTTTCAGCCATGACCTATATCACTTGAATCTGTACAATCTATTGCCTTTCACAACTTTCATGGAATATAAAGCAAGGCTTTTGCTAGTCAAGCAAGACTGTAGATATGTGAACTGGATTGGAACGTTGTGTAGTTGATACCCATTGTAAGTTTTCAATCAAATGTTTAGAAACAAAGGAAAAAAGAAGAGACATGTGTCTGACCCACCTCCTTGTGCTCCTCCCGTAGCTTGATGAGGTCGACTGCCGTCACAGTGACCTCTGGGATGTACTCTGGGATGTTGAACCACGTCGCCACCCTGTAGGGGTCATGCAGACTGCAGGAAAACAAACAAACAAACAAGGGGAATTATAAACCTTCCTTTTAATTGCACTACTTGCTGTATGTAATGGCATTCCCACCTGACAATATGTTATTACCTTCTAAGTGGTGACAACAATTTGACGACCTGGCAAAAGCATCCAATGCAATTTCAGGGTGGCAAAACAGAATAATATTCTGGATGAGGAAATCTGTCTATCTGTCTGATACCATCATTTACCGATGTCCAAATTTTGTTTCAGTTACATGTACTCTTTTTAGGAGGAGACAAACAACAACATTCACTTACTGCTTACCAATTACTTGAACAGAACAGATCTTTCTGAATGTTTAAACTTTGCCACTTACACTCTCCGTCGATGGTGAAGTGACTTGTCTTCCTCCTTGTTCCAGGGGCTGTTCTCATACGTCAGGGCATTGATGTCCTCCAGGATCTGGAGGGGGAAGGGGTAACGACACTTTACAAATTGGCAAAAAAGTCTCAATATTGCAATGCAAGCTGGTCTAACCCTCGGAAGACGAGGAACAACAGACGATAAACTGGAGAGTGAGTGAGTGCATGTTTAGGTACTACTGTAGATGTAATGTAGAAGCACAGCAAAGAACAAGTTTTGGATAGGGAGGCATTTTACTCAAGTCTAATGCAAGTAAAAACACTTCTAAACACATGTCCGGATCTCCACTCTCCCCTAACTCTCACCAGTTCTGTGTCTCCGTAGTTTGTCCAGTCGTAGGTCAGCACCTCACTCCACTTACTGAAACAACACAGAAAAAAATCTCATCACAGGGACTGACAAAATGGGATTCGAACCCAGAACCTTTAGATTCTATGTCTACAATCCTAACACAAGACCACCTTACCACCAAGATGTACTGAGGTTTCTTACCTGTAGTTCTTCAAGAAATCATTCTTGTAGGCATCATCGAGGGTCTCCAAGTAAGACAAGGGGATGTCCTGTTCCATGTCCTGTGTTTAGAGGGGTGTAAGAAAACTGTTTTAGAAATACATGTACTAGTTTTTCATACAGTGATTGTATGACTATAACTAATATCAGTTAACAATGCTAACATGTGTTTCTTGAGACTTAATACAACAAAGTATACACCAATTTTTGTTAGACCTTACATGCAAACGGTTGAACAAACCTACATTAAATGTCAATGTTCAACAGAACCTGAGAAGGTAAACATAAAAAGTGAAGAAAAGAAGAAGATGGTCCTTACGATGCCCCTCTTCTCGATCTTCTTCTGGACCTCCTCAGGTGGGACATCCAGGTAGATAACCAGGTGTGGGGGGAGGATCCTGTTAATCACCTCTTCCTTCACCATGTAGTAGTAGTCATAGCCTGGCGTACACACAGAACAAGGTTAATGCATAGTGTCAGACAGTGATTTTCTATAATACACAAATTCAAGCCTTGAAGAAATCAAAAGTCTTCTCAAATTTGTAATAATATTTTAAAGGAAATTATGGAATCCTGTGACATAAGCATTTTTGTAGTCTGCAGAAATGTAAACTGTACTAATGAGCCATAGGATGTTTCTGTTGATTGTATGTATCTGTGTAAGTTGTGGCACGTATTTTAGTACTTACAATGTTTCTTGATGTACCTCTCCTTGTACATGGCTTCTAGGAACACAAAGTCACTGTGGACAGATCTATCCAGGATCACACCTTGTCCTGAAACAACACAGCAACAATCAACAGAAGGAAAATATGCTGGGGGAAAATGGGGCATTTTAAGGCTTTCTGAGGGTGACAATATGGCCAGACAAGAAGTTAGCACTTGAATAATTTTTTTAAATTGTTCCAAAGTGAGGATGAACTGTTCCAACCTGTTGTTTGAAAAATATTGAATGACTTCAAATTGAAGTCCACTTTATTTTGCTTATGTTCATTCCCAGGTGCACTATAATTGCAGAGTAAATTTGGGGGGACAGAAAATTTGGGGGGACTTTTCCGGAGCCAAAAGCCAGAAGTGTGCCTGATAAACAAAAGAAGGGCTGACATTCTGATGTTGATTATTTTTCTATTGTCCCAAAAATGTCCCAAAGTGTCTTGTAAATTTTTGTGGTCAGTGGCCATTGGACCACTAATTTCAAGCTCTGATACATAGCACAAGTTTAGAAAACAAACCCTCCCTACCTGTTGAGATGAGGTGGTTCATGGCCTCACAGAACTGGAAGTAGCGCAGCACGAACATGACCATCTGGAAGCGGATGGAGTGTCCGTCAGGGTCGCTCGGGTCTTTGTAGAAATCCTCCAGACTTACGTTGCCTGTCGCGGGAAAATCAACAGGCCAGGGGTCAATGCAGGTCATTAACCTTTGTTTAGATGTCACAGGCATATAAATACAATGTATGTCTGTTGTCACTGTTAACCTAAATACGATATTTGCATACACAATTGTATGCTACTGAATTCATAAAGTATGCATCAAAAGTGACGATTTCTATAGAAATTACAATACACGTATGAAGATTTACCTGGAATATCTATACTATATCCAAAATACATGAAGACGGAATACTAATATCATTAAAACCATTCTGGATAGTCAAAATCATTTCTTCTAGGTGGATTGTACAGCAAGGATGGACAATCTTAAAAGGCTTCTCAAATGTAAACAAAAAATGTGTGTGTAGAAAGTAAGGCAGAGAAAGAATCATAGGGTAATACTATTTAGTACTGGCTCCACTCCTTAAAAGTTGGCAAAAAGCAGTACCTGAGAACTTCTTGTCCATGGGTGAACCGTCTCCCTCAAACCTGTCGAAGTAGTGGACATCCACCTCGGGGAAGTACTTCATACCTGAAGGGGGAAGGTCAAAGTCAGGCTTAAACAACTAAAACATCGACAGAAGGTCGTATACAGTACAGTTGTTGATTATCTTTCTCTGTACACATTTTACAGGTGGTTTTATCTCTTATATTTCTCATGCCAAAGTTATGTAAATCTACTTCAAATTGTGAATAAAAGTCATGTAAAACATAGTTCAAACTGTGTGCACAAATTTGCTGCACTCATCCTCAAGTGGCTATGCCTATCTATAACATATAGATATATAACATCTACATCTACATGCATTTTACACGAGAAATGAACCCAATTTAAATCACAACTGCGAGGCTTTTGGCATATTTTTCTCTGTCGTTTCTTACCCAGCTTGTCGGCAAGTTCTTTCCCCAGCGTGGTCTTCCCCACGGCGAGGTTTCCATCGATCACGAAGATCTTGCTTCGCTCGTTCTCCTTCCTGCTGAACCAGTCTCCAAGGACGTAGTTGAACCAGCTGTACCGCTTCTCCCTCTGGTAGCTGTCTACCGTCGATGTGTGGAACTTCAGCTGTGGGAGGGAGGCAGACAGCAGTATAATGGGTACGCCCCAAGGTATCACCAAAAAACTAGAAGTCAAAGATTTTTCACTTCCTCAGCTTCCTGAATCCCCCCCCCCCTTCTGAGACCTTTGCCCGCCTGTCATTCTGCCCCCACCCATGTGCTGTCAACCTACTCTGTCTGGACAACGAGATACACAAACCGATAGATCTGCCGTGCCAAAGATTTTTATGTTGCTGCCTAGAATTTAGCTGTAGAACTTTATATATTAAGGTATAGATGACATAAAAGAAGAGGAACGTATAATACTGTTCTAAGACAAACTCTGTTGGACTATACATGATTTTTGTCTTCGTCGACGCGTGTTGGTAAATAATTATTTCTTTGGGCCAATTGGGGGAGGGGGGCAAAAAAATGTAACAAAGTGTTGGCACTTTCACAGTAGTTATATGAATGTCAGCATCCACATTCTACCATAGTAACGTCATACACCATACAGAATGATCTGGGAAAGCTACAAGACTCTGTAAAACGATTTTCTGGACCAAACTCGGCCCCAAAACTCTACCCTTGACCGACACTCACCGCAGGAGCAGCCGCCATGTTGGAAGGAAGCGTTGCCTTGAAGCGGCACATTCTGGCCAAACCCCCGCCGGCACGGAACAACAGTCCACCCTGCACAGCCATGGTCGTCTTAAGAAGCCTGTACTGTCCACCTGGGGTGGTTACTCTCCTTAAGACATGAGAAAAAGGGCAGAATTTGCGGACGACTTAGTTTGACCCCACACGACCGCCAAATGTACTGCCTAGTGAGGGCGACAAAACGTTTACCAAAGTCCAGATATATTGCAACAATTTCTGGCTTCACAATCAAAATAAACGTAACCTATAGCAACAACAAATTCAGTACGTATATTTTAGCTGTACTATGTGCAAGTTTTTATGAGTTTATGTAAGAATACAACTTGTTTTATTGATTCTTTCGTTTCAATGCCCTCTACAAGACGATGTGCGAGTACGCCGCCTTGCGAGGTATATTCGAACTGCAACCATTTGGCGTCAACCAAGATGGCCTCCTCCGCGAAACACAGCGTAGCCTTCCTGTTTATTCTCGGGGTTCTAACGGCTCCTGCGATGTCTGTCTACACTCTGACGGACTCAGGCGGGCTGGGGGCGAGGTTTGACGGGGTGGGAGGCCTGAGCGGCGGCGGGGCGACCTCGCGCCTCCTGGTGAGCTACCCCGAACCCTACCGGTCCCAGATCCTGGACTACCTGTTCAAACCCAACTTCGGAGCCGCGCTGCAGATTCTCAAAGTGGAGATAGGTAAAATAATAGTATGAACGTTGTGATAGACCATTTTAGCCGCTACAAAAATATGACATATTTCCCAAATATGGACTAAATAGTTTGCCACAGGTTAAACAGATGCATAACCCACTAACGCAACTGGCAAATCATAATTTCACGGTATTTGAAGTTTCTGACCGAATATTTCCCAGGAACTCGGAGACTGGTAGATACTAAGATCGCAGCTTTTAGAAATGGTCGCCAAAACAATTGAGGAACGTCTAACCACTCTAATCTATATCAGTATGTGGGGAACACAGAAAGGGGACTCTTCCGGTTTAGTTTAATACGCATATTTGGGTCAAGTATAAGTATCATGTTACCGAAATCAACAGGTGTCAGGCACTACTAGTAACGTGTTCGTACGTAAAATGGCAAGATACAACCCCTTTTCTATTTTCTATACTGAAGACATATTCAACCCTTTGAAACCAGTTTTTACAGTTGTACAGCATGTTTGTACAGCCATTGGTCTAATGCCATCGGTGCGTCCCTTCTTGCCATGGACGACAGAGAGGAAAGAAAGGAACATTCCATTCGTGTATAGGGAAGTGGGCACTACTGCAGTATTCGTCTTGTGTGTTTGTGAAAACTCGATAAAGATGATTTTAACTCTCATAACATGCCAAGGGAGTTGGTCCGCTCTAGAGTACAGTTTGCCGCTTCGGCTCTTGGCTGCCGAAGGGAACAGCTAGCGGCCGAAAACGAGTTTGGCACCCAGGGTAATATGAATATGGCCTGGATGTTATTTTCAGGTGGAGATGCCCAGAGCTCCGAAGGCACGGAGCCGTCTCACATGCACAGCGCGTCGGACCAGAACTACACCCGCGGGTACGAGTGGTGGCTCATGCGGGAGGCCAAGCAGCGCAACCCGGGCATCAAGCTGTACGGGCTGCCCTGGGCCTTCCCGGGCTGGGTGGGCGGCGGCCAGCCCTACCCCAACCCAGAACCAACAGCAAACTACGTCACCCACTGGATCCTCGGTGCAAAAAAGGTCCACAACCTCACCATCGACTACGTGGGGGTTTGGAACGAGAAGGAATATGACGTCAAGTACATCAAGACCCTGAGGAAAACGTTGGACGACAATGGTCTAGGTCACGTGACGATCGTGGCCGCGGACGGCGATTGGCTGCGGATTTCAGAAGAGGTTATGGCGGATCCTGAGCTGGCTAAAGTGGTGGATATCATTGGTATGTACACTCTTCATGGCATTCCTTCCTTCCTTCCTTCCTTCCCTGCTTCCTTCCCTGCTTCCTTCCCTGCTTCCTTCCTTCCTTCCTTCCTTTCTTCCTCCCTTCGTTCCTTCCTTCCCCTCCCTTCCTTCCTTCCTTCCCTCCTTCCTCTTCACTTTCTTTATCTTTTCTGTCTTTCATTCTTTCTCTTTTCTTTCTTCTCCCAAGACAAAAATTACATGATTCACATTTTTGGCAACGCCTCAGGAGTTGAGCCGTGAATGAAGAAGATGTTAAAAAGTACACCTATGCATTTTTCTTTCCCTCACCCAACTACAGGCGCTCACTACCCGGGGACTAACAGTATACCAATGGCGCAGGCTACAGGGAAACCCTTATGGGCTTCAGAAGACTACAGTACGTTCAACGACCCCAAGGGAGCCTCGTGTTGGGCACGGATTCTCAACCAGAACTACGTCAACGGTCACATGACCAGCACCATCGCATGGAACCTCATCGCCAGCTACTACGACGTACGTCATTTCCGTTTCCGAGTACAAAATCTAGAAACCAGTGGTATATAAATGAAGACAATGGTTCGTGTTTCATGCAGTCGGCCACATCCTTGAACCCGGTGCCTGCCAGGTCTAACCCGTTTCAATCATGTTGACCTGGCCTAAATTTGGTCAGACTGCTCCCGAACGTCAACCGACTTTGGTTGGAGGTGGGGGGAAGGTTCTGGGTCCAATCTGATTGACCAATGATGATGCTAATTTTTCTACTTGTTCCTGTATTTAGAATCTGCCCTACAGGAGAGATGGTCTGATGACAGCCAACCAGCCCTGGAGCGGTCACTACGAGGTCAGTGACCCCGTCTGGGCGACGGCCCACACCACCCACTTCACCGCCCCCGGCTGGACGTACCTGAAGGGAGTGGGTCATCTGGACGGCGGCGGGAGCTATGTGGCCTTGACTGACGGGAAGGGTGGTCTGACGATCGTCATAGAGGCCATGAGTCACCAGTATTCCAAATGCGTCCGCCCCCTTCTCCCGCCTTACTCCGTCGCGGCGAAGCAGATCGTCAACTTTCAGCTGGGCGGCGCTTTTGAGAAGATCACCCACCTGTGCGTCTGGTTCTCGAAATTTGTCGGGAACTCGACGGCCCGGTTTCAGAGGAGGGATCCTCCTATCAAGGTCACGGGCGGCCATTTTTCTGTAGAAGTGGAGGAGAATTGTTTATATACTCTAACCACGATAGAAAAGGTTCGACAGCCTCCCACAGATTACCCAGACTCCCCTGCGCCGGCGCCGTTTCCAATTCCTTATAAGGACAACTTCGACGGCCAATCGGACTCCAGCGAGGCGCGGTACTTTGCAGACCAGGTACAGAAATCACTATTCTAATCTTTCATTTTTACTCCCGGGGGAAGGAGATAGCCTTCCGCGGGAAGGTACTGTTCTTGGTCGTGTTTGTGTGATCGCAGCTGTAACTCACCGTAGCCTATGTTTGTACAAATTCTCGGTCGGGAGCGGCAACCTTTGGGGCGGCCGGCCGCCAGGAGCGCGATTAAGTTAGGCTATAACTCACCGTGGTTTTGATAGATTAGAATTTCTTTGATTTTCGCCATCACACCAGTCTGGTCGTAAAGAACAAAGACCAAGACTTTGCGTAGTTGTAACCAGATTGAAATAGAGTTTGAAGTTTGTTTTATTTTTCTTCCATATCACCAGACGGGTGTGTTTGAACTTTTCGTGAACGAGAGCAGTCCGAATCACCAGGGAACGATGAGACAGGTCGTCACGTATAGGCCGATCTTCTGGTGCAAGAAAGGTCCCACGGATTCACCAATCAGCGTCCTCGGTAGGTATTTTATACTGACGTCATCAACATGCATATTCATGGACCAGCCATATATGGATATTGCTGTAAATATTGTTTGAAGTTAAAACTTTCGATCCAACACAAAAAGGTCTCTCACCTAGAGCTTTCGACCAGTTGCTCTAGTCTTCCTCAGTAGACTGCTCCAGTGAGGCTCGTCACATGGCTTCTTTGAAGTGTGACGTCAACACTGGGTCAAAGGTACCCGGTAGAGGATGTCAGCCCCCGTCGCGGTTAAGTGATGAGCCCTGATGTAAATAGCCCTTCACCCCTCTCAGGAAATAGTCTTGCTGTAAATATTGGTACATATAGTGAAATATTTCAAATTCAACAAAATCTCTTCTCAGGGGACTACAACTGGACTGACGTCACGGTCAGCTGCGATGTCCTTGTAGAGCAGCAAGGGGGCGCTTTTGTGGCGGCGCGAGTGGACCGGGGCGGCTGCCTCATCAAGGATGCCCTCGGCTTCTTCCTCTGGCTGTTTGCAGACGACACCTGGGCGCTGTCCTACGACATCGCTCTGAAAAATATCGTCAAACAAGGGAAGCTAAACGCCACGGTAGTTGGCCAATGGCATCGGTTAGATCTGTACGTGAAAGGGGATATTGTAAAAGGGTCGATAAATGGACGAGTTCTATTTGATTTCAGGACAGGACCGCTTCCTATGAAGAAAGGCTTTGCCGCCATTGGAAGTCTGGACTTCAAAAATGTACAGTTTGATAACTTTGCTGTAGACAGAGCAAAGTAGCATTGACAATACCAATATTCAAACTCTTTAGATGACTAAAAATATTGAACGAACAATGTTGAAAACAAAGCTATGGATACATGTAAATTTGGATGAAAATTGTTAGAGTCAGGAACTCCCAGGAAAGAAAACCTTCCAGAGTATGGCTTGAATACTTCGTGCTGTACTTTGTTTTATCTTACGTCTTATTATTGTGTCAGTGTTGATAGCCTTTTAGCAAGTAAAAGAGCGATATGTAAACATTGCATGCCCACACAAGTTCAAATAGTAACTTAACACGGGATATTTTGAGGCTATTTTGGACAAAACATGTCTCTTGGGTGAAGAAAAATTTATTCTGAAATTTGATAGCGCTTTGACGCCGTCTTGCGATGTACACATAAACTGCAGCCCTACTGACCTTTACCTCCAAGATGGCCTCCGACACAAAACACGGAACCGTCACCTGTCTCCTTGTTCTAGGCGTTCTAACGGTCCCCGTGGCGTCTGTCTACACTCTGACGGACTCAGGCGGGCTGGGGGCGAGGTTTGACGGGGTGGGAGGCCTGAGCGGCGGCGGGGCGACCTCGCGTCTCCTGGTGAGCTACCCCGAACCCTACCGGTCCCAGATCCTGGACTACCTGTTCAAACCCAACTTCGGGGCCTCGCTGCAGATTCTCAAAGTGGAGATAGGTAAGACTATAAGCCGCTTCTGTACTGAACTTTCATCGTCAATAAGACAAAAAATGATGATGGTTTTGTGCATGTAGTTGTAGGGTCGCTGCGTGAACTTTTTCCTTTATCTGACCACGTGCATTAGTCGGGACTAACGGTCTATTAGCCGCAATGAGCTCGAGTTTGCTCAAAATTTGCATGCGGAAGCAAAGTTGACCTAGCCTGGGTACCATCCTGCTTAGCTCATTACATCTATTACATCTGCTCCGATGGTCGTTGGTGACTTATTCAATCTTCAACAACAGACCAAATCTGTCCGTAAGCCGCCGCCACATCCTCGAGGCCATACTTTGAGATAATGTACAGGTATATAATGTTACAATCTTATACTAGTAATATATAATCTTTTTTTTTTTTTATTCCGAAACATATAATCACAAGACGTGGTGACGACACACTCAAGTTTTTTCAACTTATATTAATGGCGACACCAACACAGGGACAGGACAATACTCATTTTCACCTGAGCGAAGTGAGGAAAGTCCTGTAAAGTGCCTTTCCCAAGGGCACAAGATCGGTGGCATGTCAGGACTCGAACCCGGGGCCTCTGGTTCCGAGTCGAGAACGCTGCCGCTGCGCCACACGACCCCATAATATATAATCTTAGAAGATGATCTTTAACTTTTAATATAAGATAGATACATACACATTGCAACATAGCCAAACGCCCAGTATCTATGCAAACATATTGTTTACTCTCTCTAACAACTGCGATAAAAAGATTCTTCCAAAGGTCGCCGCGTTACGTAATTACTCGTGCGAAAAATCTGATACCAGGTATCGGGTAAACAGGGAAAACAAACTTTGTAATCTCCAAGCAGAGGTTATTGCTTCGAATTTCGGCTTATTTTTTAAAATGCTTTAGGCGTTATCGACCTTTCTGTTGTGTACTGACATTTGATTATATGAGATGGGCCACCCTGCCCAAATAAAAGAGAAACAAGTTAATGATAAATAAATGAATATGTACAAATGAAATGTATACTAATATAATAACTTTCCACGTACAAACTCCTTCATTCACTTATTCAGGCGGAGACGCCCAGAGCACGGACGGCACGGAGCCGTCCCACATGCACAGCGCGGCGGACCAGAATTACACCCGCGGGTACGAGTGGTGGCTCATGCGGGAGGCCAAGCAGCGCAACCCGGGCATCAAGCTGTACGGGCTGCCCTGGGCCTTCCCGGGCTGGGTGGGCGAGGGCCAGGCCTTCCCCTACCACCGGCCGGAAACCACGGCCGGGTATATCGTCAACTGGATCCTGGGCGCGAAGTCGGTCCACAACCTCACCATCGACTACGTGGGGATTTGGAACGAGCGCGTCCATGACGTCAAGTACATCAAGACCCTGAGGAAAACGTTGGACGACAATGACCTAAGTCACGTGATGATCGTGGCGCCAGACGGAGGCTGGGTACAGATTTCGAAGGACATCATGGCGGATCCTGAGCTGGCTGCTGCAGTCGGCATTATTGGTGGGCGTTTTTCTACCGTTTTCTGTCGACAACACACAGAAAAATCATATATGTACCATATGAATGTTCGGCTGACGTAATCATGGATATCTGGCACATTTTTGTGCCGGAAACGTGACGCCAGGAGTAGGTCAAATGTCAACAGTCTCTGTGAACAGGGACGGCGGACGATATCGACTTCAGGATACCTTTGACCCACTCCTGGCGTCACGTTTCCGGAAATTGCACACAGGTGTACATTTCCAAATCATGAGATCTTTCTTATTTCCAGACAAACCTATATCTGCGATTAATTTTTCTTTACATGTAGTAAAATATATGTTTTTTAACGAAATGGTTCGAATTCCTGTACTGTAGGGTCTCACTACCCGGGCACTCACAGTGCGCCCATGGCCCAGCAGACCGGGAAAACTCTCTGGTCCTCGGAAGACTACAGCACAGTCAACAACGGCACGGGCGCCTCGTGTTGGGCACGGATTCTCAACCAGAACTACGTCAACGGTCACATGACCAGCACCATATCCTGGAACCTCATCGCCAGCTACTACGACGTACGTCATAAACCAAGTGAAGATATTAAACATTATGCTTTTTGATTTGAAACTTCTACTTTTCTGCTCAGTAACACTACGTATTGGCCATTGAAGTTTAGGACACGTTTACCGCTAGGTTATATTAGCAAATAGTCTCTGGCTACGATGTTTGTTTGTTTGCTTGTATGTTACGTTTGTTTGTTTATTTGTTTGTTACTTTGTTGTCCTTGCAGGACTTGCCATTCCCACGATCGGGTCTGATGACAGCCAACCAGCCCTGGAGCGGTCACTACGAGATCAGTGACCCCGTCTGGGTGACGGCCCACACCACCCACTTCACGGCCCCCGGCTGGATGTACCTGAAGGGTGTGGGTCATCTGGACGGCGGCGGGAGCTATGTGGCCTTGACTGACGGGAAGGGTGGTCTGACGATCGTCATAGAGGCCATGACACACCAGTACTCGCAGTGCGTCCGCCCGCTTTTACCGCCTTACTCCGTCAAGTCGGGACAGGCCGCCACTTTCCAGCTTGGAGGCGCTTTTGAGAACATCACCCGTCTGAACCTTTGGTACTCGAAGCTCATCGGCAGCCAGGTTGTCCATTTTCAGTCCAAAGACCCCGTGGTAGTGAGCGGGGGAAAGTTTTCTATAGAAGTGGACGAGAACTGCCTTTACACCCTGACTACTGTGAAGCAGGACCAGCCCAAAGCTTACCCAAAATCCCCTGCGTCGGCACCGTTCCCACTTCCATATAAGGCCAAGTTCGACGGCCCAGCGGACTCCAGCGAGGCGCCGTATTTTGCCGATCAGGTATCTAACATTCGACATTCATGTATTGAAAACTTCTCTACATTTTCTTTGTTCAACACAAATAAAATGACTCTTTCACATCTGACATGCGTTAACTCTGGAAACGTGACGTCATCGGGGCTGGGTCAAAGGTGCCTAACAGTCGATATCGCCCGCCGTCCTGGCTCAGAGAGCATTCATCAGCTCTGTAGATGGATTCCTTCACATCTCTCACAAAGTAAACCTCTCCGAACTGGGACGGTGCGCGGTATCGACTTCTGAGCAAGTTTGAACTTTGATGCACTTCTGACGTTCCGGAAAGTTCATAAATGTCAGTGTGCCAGAAATCCAATACCCATATGATGACCGATGTTTTCAATGAACACAGATTCATTCTATTTTTTTTTAATAACTGTTTGTTTCCTCACCAGACAGGAGTTTTTGAGCTGTACGTGAATGAGAGCAGCTCGGATCACAGCCGCACACTCAGGCAGAACGTGACCGAGAGGCCCATCGTCTGGTGCAACGACGCTGACGCAGCAATCAGCGTCATCGGTAAGTGACCTAAGCGTCATCGGTAAGGGGCCTTAGGTGAAGGTAGATTCATTTGCCCGTTACGTTTTGGTAAAATAAGGCTGCATGATTCAGCAATCAGCGCCGTCGGTGACATATGGGGCCTTAGCTGAGCTGAGGACAGGTGATTCGTTTGGTAAAACAACGTAACTCAACATATGTAGCGAATTCCGACTAAAAAAACACAAAAGTCAACAGTAGCACTTCTCATGTTTTTCGAATTTGTTTTTATTTTCCTGACGCAAAACGTTTTGTAATGCAGGTGACTACAACTGGTCGAACGTCAGCGTCAGCTGCGATGTCATGGTGGAATCGGGAGGGGGCGCTTTTGTGGGAGCGCGAGTGGACCATGGCGGCTGTGACGTCAGCCAGGCCAGGGGCGTCTTCTTCTGGCTTCTGGAAGACGACACCTACAACTGGGTGGTGTCTTCAGACATCAACAGAAACTACATCTTAGGGCAAGGGAAGGTCGACGCCACCGTCGTCGGCCAGTGGCACACGCTAACCCTGTTTGCGAAGGGGGACAACACAGCCGGGTCTCTGAACGGGAAACTCTTGTTCGACATCACCGACGCCCAACTCCCCACCACGAAGGGTTTTGCCGCCGTAGGGACTCTAGGCTTCCAGAAAGTGCAGTTCGATAATTTTGATGTGGACAAAGCGAAATAAGCAGTTGTTGTGATTAGAAAGCGCGCGTCAGCTGCTAGTGTTAGGAGTGAATCAACAACCTGTTTCTTTCTAAAATTTCTAGAAGTAAAGGGCTACTCGGTCTTGACAATAAAACTTAAGCATTTTGAGGAAAGTAATCCTCTCGAATGCCAATACAATACATCCACGAAAATTTTAAGGAGTATATATGTTCTTCCTGTTCTATTCTTCTTTTCTTCATTGTGCGAAACCTTAAACCTACATTAAGGAGTGTTAGGCCCTCGGGTGGAACGCTGACCTATTAGCTGCTTGCATTCTCGTGCGGGGTACGAGAGTGGTCTGGCACAACTGGTGTCAGTTGTCTGTATCTAGTAATCTCCAAGCAGATGTTGGAAGGCGACAAAGTCGTCAGATTTTCCTAGCCTTGCGTTTCTATAACAAGTGTAGGAACGAACAGAAACAGGATGATCTATAAAAAACGTGGCGATTTTGTCACTTCAAACACCTGCTTGTAGTTCTATGTCACGTTATTTACGGCAAAACAGTCGCTCTTTTGTTACGCACCGGACCGAAACGCTAGCCATGCGCGATAGCCAGGTGAGAAAACCGGGTTAGACCGCCCTGCCCTGCCACAGCGAGTACCTGTTGCGCTCGATCGAAGAAAGACAACATGTCGTCTGTCGCCGGCACAGAGGCGTCCACTGTAGGGTCGGAGTCTGTGTTCTACAGCAGTAGAGACGAAGTGAGGCGGATTTTCGCGCAGGCGAGGGGCCGCAAGGTGGAGGAGCCGAAAGAAGGCATCGACGGGCCGATCTTTTGGATCGAAGGGCCAGAGCCAGAGGTAAACAAAAGGGCACGCATACCTGTACTACTACTGCGTAACAAATTAGTACCGGTCACCAGTTCGGTAGCCGTTTAAACTCCTTTTTTCCAGTTGAGCACAGTTAATCTTGCGTCTTGTGGCCACCTGTGTATTCTATTCAAGTCCCTTGAGCTTGCCACTAGATACAGGTCTGAATGTAGTGCGGAAGGTCAGCGTTCCAAGCTTGTTGTTGATGGTTCAGGTCCGATTTGTTTGAAATTACCGGACCTTACCACAGCCCCGGGGGTCATGCATAGGGCAATGTTTTGCCGTGTCTTTTAACAGAGAACCATTGGATTAAAGTAACATTCAAAGTCGAGGAGAGAAGGTTATATGAGAAAAAACACGAGGCCGCCTTCGTCCAAGTCTCGGTGTTTATGAATTGTGCGTTGCAATGATATGGTGACAGGTCTTTAAAAATGGACTGTTCTATTTCAAGTTCAGAGGTGCACTCCTTGTGTTTTCTAACATTTTGTTTCTTCGTGTAGTGTGACTCAAATCGCACCAATACACGTTTGTTACTTTGAATACCTTTCCTCTGTACTTTGAAGGCAAATAGATACTAGTATGTCTTTAAGGTTGACAAAATCAGACTTTGAAACAGGTGCACATTTAATATCGGACCGTAACGTTACTTTCCGGCTTTTCAACACTAAAACTACGTGCATATCCACGGTGGTACAATACTAGAGTAGTAGAATACTAGAGAAACTTGACATTTACACACTTACACTTTTCAGTCCACTGAGTTTTCACTTTTCCTTTGCATGAATAGCTGTCAAGTTTGATCAAATTGATGTGTGTTTCCGGTTGTTGGATTGCACTACTTTCAGCGGAAAAAAAGTTCGACCCTTTCTTGCAATTTTTTCGTTAATTTTTTCCTTAGGAACTAGCCTGGGTACCATCCCCAGTAGTATATTCGCAAACTCTATAACTGGGTCTGGACTTGCACACATATGTAGCGTCTGGAGTCTAAATATTCGTTCAGATTTTGAACGAGCGCGCTGATTGGTCCTACTCGTCTAAGCCCTTTTTTGGGTGTGTACATATTAGGTAAGGGCCGAACGGCGACGTTAGCGTCCGTTCGAACGTCCGAACGCCTTATCATCAACATGTCCGACGGCGAACCGAACGCTAAAGCGCACATGATATATAGCCGTAGTCAGTCTTTCCGCGATAAATCATCAACATGGCTGACGCACAAGCCGCTCAGCTCACGGAGGTTGATGTTGACCTCGCAATCACGTCCGTTTTGGACGATTTAGACGGAATATCGTCGCTCAAAAATGAGCAAAAAGATGCATTGAATAATTTCGTTCGTGATGTTTTGGGCGTCCTACCGGTAAAAAAAAGAACGCGCCGAGAAAAGGAACACTCGCGCGAAGATCTGTGTTTACAAAACAACAAACATCACTTGAATAATGCAGGCGCGCCATTGGCCGTCGCCTCTGAGGCTCAGCCAATCAAATGAAGCCCCGCTGATCGGGCTAGCTCATTACGTGACGTCATGACCAATCGTTTTATATGTGTGCAAGTCCAGACCCAGTTATAGAGTTTGCGAATATACTACTGGGGATGGTACCCAGGCTACTTAGGAACATGGCCTTTAACATAAACCTTATGCCCCCCAATGCTTGGGGATAGAGAAAATTCAAAACGTTCTGATTTATACTATATTTACGCAAAAAAACTAACCCCTAAAAATGACAATGAGGTGGTCCTGGTCCACAACTGCTGGACGAACCTATTAATTCTGGGGGTAAGCAATGGTCACTTTAGACAATTGTTGTTTCAAAAGCTTTCATAAATCTCACACATTTTCCATCAAAACTTCTTATAAATGAATATTCCAGTATTAAGTGTAAATAATCGATATTAGAAGCAATTTTGATTATGCATTGACTAATTTCTTCGCTCTACCCCACGATTTTACCTACCAATGCATTGGTCCGCTCTCTTTCCGGACGCTAGATGCTGCTCACTGATTGGCTATCATGTAATGATAGACAGATTCTGATTGGTCCTTGGTCTATCATGCACACAGCACGTGAAGGCGGGAAAATGGCGCGCAATCCGAAAACTGTGGCGAGATGACTCATTGTTCAAGTTCGTGCGTAGCAGGAAGGGAGTGACTAACACCCACCCAAAACCCCTTGAGCTCGTGGGAGCGGCATTACAGAATTTTCTTCCTTTTCCTACGAAGACAGACCTTGTAGACTCGATCCCTCACGATGTTCCCGATCGATTATTCCCAGGAAAAACGGGACGTCATCGTCGATCAGGAGTTACGGAGCTTCACGGCGAGAGCGCCCGAGGAGGATCTAGACGACATCCCGTCAAATGTCCGCTCGTCCACGCCGGTCTCCCAACCGCCGCCGTACAACGATCTGGACCTGCAGTACACCATCGAAGACGTGCCGCCATGGCCGATATGTATTATACTCGGTTTCCAGGTAGATTTTCTTGTTAATTTGCTAACACTAACAGCTACTCACACGTGCAAGTCCTTTGTTTTGGTTTGGCGCCCAGTGTTGTGTTTTCGCGCCATTTTTGTTTGATTTTGCGTTAAATTATGTTTAACTAAATTGATTAGATTATGCAATTTCAGATCTCTAAAAATAATATGACTAATTTGGTTGAACAAATCTTGTCATGATGTTCCAAGTATCGTCTGAAATTCTTCACGATTTTCTAAGGAAATATATGTGTATTGAAAGGTTGCCCCCCTCCCCCTCCAAGATTATAAATTAATTTTTGCATGTCGTTTCCATCGCCGGGCGCGAATTACTCTCTTGTTACCAACGTTGACTTAAAATATATTCCAATTACATGCAATTTGCAGTAATTTTCATAAATACATACCTCGGTATTCAATAAATATATAATGAACTATTATTTATAGTGCAATACATACTCACCTGGAGGACCCAGTGCCTGCTATAGCTAGGACATGTAGGAGTAGGACCATATACTAGTATGCCCTTGATATAATACTAAGGATCTGTATGTGGGGATCCTGGCAATGCTTACTAGTTAGTGGTTAATTGATTTCTTGGTCATATAAATTATAATGGATGACATCCTCGCGAGGGTGAAAAAAAATAAAGTTCCTGAATTTTTAAATCTAATTTTGAAATTCTTCCTTTCCAGCACTACCTGACGATGTTCGGTGCTACCGTCGCCCTGCCCCTGATTCTGTCAGGCCCACTGTGTGTCGGAGAAAACAACGTGGCTAAGGGACAGCTGATCAGCACCATCTTCTTTGTGTCCGGCCTGTCTACCTTGCTGCAGACCACCATCGGAATACGGTGAGCTGGCGCTTAATTCTGTTTTGTGAACTGCACGTTTGTTGCTTAGTTTAAAACACGTTTTTTTTTAATTAAAAAGTATAATGATAAAATGTGGTTGAAAGGTTAGAATAGCTACATTGTAGGGTAGCGGGCACAAGATAATAAAAGGGAATGGGTTTAATTCCTGGCTAGACATAATCCACTTGGGAAAGGCAGTTTACACAGCTTTCCTTACTCCACTCAGGTGAATAATAGGTAGTACTGACTTTGGTTGAGGAGCTAAAAGGCCAATACAGGGTTGGACAAGTTTTCAAAAATACACTTGCCCCATCGGGCAAGCACATGGTCATTTCTACTTGCCCGAACCAACTTTTTACTTGCCCAATGCAAAATATAAATGACCTATTTCATACATTTTTACCACAAAGAAATTTTTTCAGTAAACTCAGCACTTTATATTGTTCTATGCTTGACCAATATTTTCCAAAGTAAGGAGGTTTGAGACTTGCAAATGGTTCCCTGATAAAAAGTCATATTATGGGAATACATTATGGGAAAATGATGAGAGATTTTTGCTCCAAACACTGGGGCATAATGCCACATCCCAAAAATTTACTTGCCCTGGGCAAGTGCGCAATGAGACTTGTCCAACCCTGCAATAGGGTTGGGCTTCACATTCCAATACATGCCCTAGGCACTGGATTAACAACCTACTGTCCCTACATCCTCACAATACAAAGGCTGTAGAACTTTCTCCTATATTATAGCAACATGTAGTGATGATTTAAAATCGTTCGGTTTGCACAGGCTGCCCATCGTCCAAGGCGGTACATACACGTTCCTGGTCCCCACGTTCGCGATCCTGAGTCTGGAGAAATGGTCGTGTCCAGCGGAGGGAGACGCTGGGTTCGGGGAAAACGAGACCTGGCAGCAGCGCCTGAGAGAGGTGAGAGGAAACTTCCATTCATTTCTGAGTGAAAATTGTGAAAGTGATCTCAACCTGTGTTAGCCTAATGACCAGTTGAGCTACTCCTCCACTAGTTGACAGCAGGGCTTGAAATCCCACCTGCATATGCAAGTTAGTGCAGGGAAAAATTGAAGCTTCACAGGAGAATACCTGACCCAAGAACGTCCTTGCCTGACCCTGGGCCTACTGTGGTTATGTCTTTGGGACACAAATGCGTTGCAGAGAGTTGTCCTTCTCTACCCGACCCCTCGGCCACTGTGAAAAAAATTCTTGTGAATTTTCCACTTCGTCACTAAGATGTTGTGTGTGTTTGTGTTTATCCAGATCCAGGGGGCCATCATGGTGTCTGCTCTGTTCCAAGTCTTCATCGGCTTCAGCGGGCTGATGGGCATCATGCTGCGGTTCATCGGTCCTCTCGCCATCGCGCCCACCATCGCCCTCGTCGGACTGTCACTGTTCGAGCCCGCGGCTAACTTCTGTGGAGTGCAGTGGGGCATCGCTTGCTTGTAAGTTATGAGTCTTGTACCCAAACCTTCCTTTTATTTTATTTATTAGCCACTGCAATACGGTCAGTTACCGGTAGTTTAAAGCTGCATAATAACGTTGGAAGCAAAAATATTACGCCATATGCGTTTAGAAGCTGGAAAAACAGCTGTCAGCCATGTTTGTTTATAATCTAGTATTTCGTGGTGGTGGTGCAAAATGTGTGCACTACCACATGGAATTTGCTATTCACAGTAAGAAATCCTGCATCAGAATGAAGTTAACCAACACCCAAGAACTTTGAATCTGAATTTTTTTTCCCGCTGTTGCATTTTCAGTACCATATTCTTGGTGCTGCTGTTCTCCCAGTACCTGGCTAAGTTCAACGCGCCGGCTCTGGGCTGGAAGGACGGGAGATGTGGGGTGATCTGGTGGCCTGTGTTCAAACTCTTCCCTGTAAGCATCTTGTTTATTTTCTGTCTACCAATCTTATAAGTTGTGTTCATTGTATTCTATTAATTGTATTGTAGCCAGGAAGAAAAGTGTGAAATTATGTAACACTGATGGAGGTCATAATAAAACAAAGGATTTAAACCCCATTCCAGAACTAGAATAATAATCTAGTTCTGGAATGGGCTAATCTCTTTTTGAATCTCATTGTCACATATCTTTCTGTTATTGTTATACATAGTTTTAATTAAAAAGTGGTTTACAAGACCATTCTAGAACAAGATTTTAGTTTAAGTGTAGCCCCTTACCACTTTGATTGACACCATTTGATCACTCACCCTGTACACCTGTGTGTTTGTCAGGTTATCCTTGCGATCATCTGTGCCTGGATCCTGAGCGCCATCCTGACTGCGGCTGGCGCCTACACCTCCGACCCCAACAACCGGCAGTACCTGGCCCGGACCGACGCTCGCACGAGTGTGCTGAAGGAAGCACCCTGGTTCTACTTCCCTTACCCAGGTATGGCCGTTACTGTCACTTTAGATATCCTATGTTTGCTCAATGGAAGGCCGAAAGACTTCTGGGCACTTGACACAAATCATACAATTGAAGAGGGTTGTCTAGTTAGAATATACATGTACACTAGAGTTGTATTGCCTCTACCAGGCTCCAGGAAGCGGCGGAAAAGAGTAGAAATTGGCTCTTGGGAGTGGCAAACTGCACTCTCTAGCAGATCAACGTCTACTCTTTACAGCTGCTTCCAGGATCCTGGTGGAGGCTACATATTTTAACCCTTCTGAAGACCATGTAGAACTTTGAGTTTGAAATTGGAAGAGATCTCTAAATGTTGATAATCATGGTCTGTAGGCCAGTGGGGCACCCCTACCGTCAGCGCTGCGGGAGTTTTCGGGATGCTCGCCGGCGTGCTTGCCTCCATGGTGGAGTCGGTGGGTGACTACTACGCCTGCGCCCGTCTGTCTGGCGCACCCCCGCCCCCGATCCACGCCATCAACCGCGGGATCGGGATGGAAGGGATCGGGTGCCTGCTCGCGGGGATGTGGGGCTCCGGGAACGGGACGACGTCATACAGCGAAAACATCGGTGCCATCGGGATCACTAAGGTGGGTGATGGGGTCATATTTTTTATTTCTATATACATTAAGAGGCAAAGCTAAATTCTGGCATATTGTAGGATGTTCATGGAAATGGGGAATGAAGTAGTTTTTCTATGTTTAAGCCATACCAATTTGATTTGTTGGCTCTCAGACCTTTTCAGAAAAATATGAAACGACAGGGCGAAAAAAAAGGGCCTTGGCATCCTATGATAGCCACAAAAAAGCAAAAGGATAGGAGCTATTAATTCAACACTTTGGTTTATTATTCAAATAATGAATTTTAAACTTTTTGTCAAACCAATGCATTGATAGATGAAAAGAGAAATAAACAAATCTGTGCATCCGTATACCCAACACCACAGGTGGGCAGTCGGCGTGTGATCCAGATCGGAGGTATCATCATGATCTTGCTGGCCGTGTTCGGGAAGTTCGGCGCCCTCTTCACGACCATCCCGGACCCCATCATCGGCGGGCTGTTCTGCTGCACATTCGGGATGGTGACGGCCGTCGGGATCTCCAACCTCCGCCACGTCGACCTCAACTCCTCCCGCAACCTCTTCATCCTCGGCTTCTCCCTCATCTTCGGCCTGGTGCTGCCCAGCTGGCTACGGGCCAACCCTGGCGCCATCAACACGGGTGAGTTGAGCAAACTTTACAGTAGGTTAAGGAAAAATTAATGAATGGTCAGTAAAAGTCACCACTGTGGCGCAATTTAGACTCAACCAATCCTGGCGCCATCAACACGGGTGAGTTGAGCAGACTTTACAGTAGGTTAAGGAAAAATTAATGAATGGTCAGTAAAAGTCACCACTGTGGCACAATTTAGACTCAACCAATCCTGGCGCCATCAACACGGGTGAGTTGAGCAAACTTTACAGTAGGTTAAGGAAAAATTAATGAATGGTCAGTAAAAGTCACCACTGTGGCACAATTTAGACTCAGCCAATCCTGGCGCCATCAACACTGATGAGATGGAAACTTGAACCATTACAGACTCTGGTATTGCCTAGGGAAAAAATGTTGTGTCTCATCATGGAGCTAGAAAAGGTGTATAAGCTCAAAAAATTTATCTTGCAGCCAGTTTTTTCCAGGGTCAGCCTGGAAACAGGAAACAGTTTTTTCCAAGGCTTGTTATTTGGTATCCTGCCTATTTCTTGCTCCTTTCTATATTGTACTGAATACATGTCTGTTTGTAACCAGGTGTGACGGAGTTGGACCAGGTGATCACAGTGCTCCTGAGCACCAACATGGCGGTGGGCGGTCTGATCGGGCTGATTCTGGACAACACCATCCCCGGCACCCTGGAGCAGAGGGGCATGCTCAAGTGGAGGGGCTTCATGGAAGGTACGTGGCCGCACTTCTTTCTATGAAAATGCAGAATGAGATTTGCCTGTTTTACAAAAATGTCAGCAGAGCGTTCAAATTCAGAAAATTTTGGAGTGTGGTGATGTTGGTACATACCAGGTATGGGTGCCGACGTGCCATACTACATTAGTAAGTTTGGGCTCGTCCATTATTTTTGCAAAAGGTTGATATGGAACACTCCATTCATTCATGGGGAGGGAGATGGAGTGAAATATGCTGTGTTTGCTTGCTAAAGTGACTTTTGTAACTTACTTTGAAAGTTTGTTCTTCAAGTTGTTAGTCCAAGGCTTGTTGAACCCTAACACAACCTTTCTTCCATCCCCAGACCACCCCGAGTATGATCGCTACATGGAGGGCTACAACTTCCCCTTCGGGATGAACCTGATCCGTAAGGTCGCCTGTTTCCGCCACGTCCCGTTCTGTCCCACGTTCCACGAGGACTTCATCAGCTTCCTGACCTGTGGGAGAAAGCGCTCGAAAAACACCGACAGCCAGACTCCGGACACCAAGCCCTACGCTGTTGACATGACCGCCGAAGACTCCGGCATGAACTCGATGATCGGGGACAGGCTCCACCACCATCGCGGGTCCGATACCGATTTCGAAGACGAGCTGCCTGCGATTTATCCCACGAGGACGAGTGTCTTATGATCGAGCAATCACGCACAAAAACCTGCAACTCAGCTAACGCAAGAATTCTAGAATCATAGTAAAACGTGTTACACATTTTGGAGAAGAATTCAATTTGTAACTTTCAGCACAAAAAAAGTTGAGGACTTATCCTCTCCCAAATGACTTTTGTTTTGTTAAAACAAACAGACTTAGAAGTTCTTGCCACACAATTGTTCATGTGCATCTAGTCTATTTCCTGGTGTAACTATAAGACCAGGAAAAGAGTCACAACTGCTTGCCACATCCTAGGTCAGTAGCTTGGTCATTTTTAGAGCTAGATGATGTAAATTCTGTAATTTATGCACATTTTTTAACACTGATAGTAAATTTATTACAAAATGTAGTGAAATTAGTCTGTGTTTTTCCAACTTTTAGGATAAAGGAAGCAACTTGCTGGTTAGTTTTACTCAGTCTTTTTCTGCTAGTAACGAACTTACCTAACTTAGTTAGGTAATCTATCTGCTAGGTCTGTGGAAGTTAATGCAGAAATAAGGAATTTTTGTTGCTGTGGCTTAAGGAGCTGAAAACCTGAAACTTTTTCTTTGTTGTATTTTCTCCTTATTTATTACTTTATCATACTTCTTTGTCATTTACTTTATCACATTTTCATCCTCATTTATTATTATGTTGTGTATGGAGATATTGTTCATACAGTGACCCATAAATGTATAATATAAGCTTCCGTATCCTAGGTGAATATTTTAAACAGAGTTGTCAAAGTATTTCCATTAATTGAACAAGGTTCAAATTGGATGTTCTACCCTAAAGTTATTATAACCATCTTGCCCTAACGATGTTTCATGTTATACCTTACAGAAAGAAGTACTTATTTCTCTGCAGTAGACAGTTTTTAATGTAACAAAAATGAGTGAACTACTCAGGTTAATGTTTGGAAGACATTCCCTCCAACTTGTGCAAGTGTGTGTTTGTGCAAAGGCTGCTCATTCCTTTCAATTGTGGGAAATCTGCACATCTCTGGAATTATGCAAATAATCTTTGGGACCAAAGTTGATTTGTGCATTTTATGCATGTTCAATATTGTAATTGTCACAACATTCTTAACAAAATGAATTGAATCGAAATTAGTGATTGGTTTTGTGAAGCGATGTTTGTTTTGGTTTGGAACATCATGTTTACTTGTTGTGACTCTTAAGTAGGCTTAAACAAGAATTCTATATTTTTAAGCAGAATTCTATCACACAGAGTGTATTGTTAAGTGTAAGTTGTAGAAATGCAGGTCTGGAAGCAAATGTTTCACTAGTGTACTTGTTTGTATGTAGAAATGGTGGCCAGTTGTGTATATGTACACATATGTATCACCTAATTCAGCATTGCATGGTGATGTCGCCTGGTGGTGCTGTACAGAACTGCAATCTGATTGTAGCTTGTGTACTTTTTTTCACTTGTAAGAATTAGTGTTGTACGAGAGTTTTCTAAGATGTGCATTCATTTTTGATCATTGGTAGCACAATATGATTGTGAATAAATGTCTTGAATCAGCTCTGAAACACTAATTGTGCTGTTATTTCTACATAAAACTTATTTTGTAGTAAGAGAATATGCAGGGGAAATATGGGAGATTGGCCACAATACATTTTATCGAGGGGGAAATGAACCCCTAACGGTGGATCCATGGCCAATCTCCTGGCCAGTCAAGCCCTCTTTTTGCCGAATGCTACCATCCTAACCCCCATGGGAAGGTCTGGTGGAGGTTATCGCGACCGAATTGTAATAAATATACATGTAGTATCGATATCAGATCAGCTTTCGAAAGGCATCGTCGTTGCGATAGAGGGTGAGCTTCGTTACCTTTACGCCATTTGTCCTTTTTTCGACAAACAATGATGGGGCACCTAGCACGACCTCTCCAGTTATCTGCGTGGCCGCCAATTTCCTTTCTTTTCCTTCTTTGTAACTTTCGATCCAATATGGTTCTAGAACATTTCTTTGTGTTACTTCAAAGATTTACCTTTCCCCTCAAAAACACGGATGGGCCCTTTTGATTAATCTGTACAAGGAGGTTAAAAATGTTTTCAACCTCCTTGATCAGCACTAAAAATGACAAAACTGCACGGAAAACGGTCAAAATGTTTCGGAACTTCGCGTTTCTCGCAAACTTTCTTCTTTGCTCATTATGATTGTCCATTATGACGCTGCCCTTAAGGTGACGTCATTGGGCAATCTTTGATTTAAAAAAAATTCAAATCCTTGGTCGTACTGTGATTGGCTGGTTGAAGACCAATCAGATACGTCCATTAGAGCTCCGGCCATTATGACAAAAATGAAGTGACGTCATGGAAAATTTTATTACAAATTACTAGTAAAAAAAACAGTGACGTCATGGAAATTTTTTACAAATTTCAAAAAACTCTCCGTGCTGTGATTGGCTGATTGAAGACCAATCAGAGGTTACCACCACAGCTCCAGCCAATCAGAGCCCGTGTGGGCAGAGTGCTCTGACCGATGTCGCGTCCTCTCAGCCAATCAACAATCAACCAATCAGCGTTCAGCATCTCAGGGCGCTCCGACCTTAATGCCTCTTCATCAGCCAATCACAGCCTTGCAGGTCAGAGCGCCCTGGCCATCTCCATTGTCTCAGCGTAATTGGCCAATCAGAGAGCAGCAGGTCAGGGCGCCCTGTTCAATTTCCTTTGTTCTCCAGTGCACGGGAGGGTATAAAAGGCGGCGAAAATCGCAGACGAGCATTAGTTTTGCCTGATTGACTCTGAAGAGTTCAACTCGTCGCAAGCTTCCTTTTGTATTTTGAATTTCCAGTTGTGAAATTTCAAAGTGTTGATAGTCAAGATGTCTGACGCATTCGGATTTATCAAGGACTTCCTGGCCGGAGGGATCTCTGCCGGGGTCTCCAAGACTGTGGTGGCTCCCATCGAGCGTGTCAAGCTGCTCCTTCAGGTAAGAAAACTTCCAGTTCTTAGACTTGATTGTTTCTTAACATGCTTAAGTTGTATCTTGTTACCAGTAGCATCAGAAAGTTAGAAACATTACGAATTAGTCTACTTATACTAGTATTTCATCTACTTAAAGTGCGCAGTAATATTAATAGCAAAGAGAGTTCTAGAACATCTATTTATGTTATAAATGGTAAAATGAATAGAACAGCCATGTATTTTTGTTTTGGAATTGCTTTACTTATATTTCTCTTTACTCTATGCTACTACAGGTGCAGGCTGTGTCTAAGGACATCCCCAAGGACAAGCAGTACAAGGGGATCGTGGACTGCTTCAGCCGCGTGAGCAAGGAGCAGGGCGTGGCATCGCTGTGGCGCGGCAACCTGGCCAACGTCATCCGCTACTTCCCCACCCAGGCCCTGAACTTCGCCTTCAAGGACACCTACAAGAAAGTCTTCCTGGGCGGCGTGGACAAGAAGACCCAGTTCTGGCGCTACTTTGCCGGAAACCTGGCGTCCGGCGGCGCAGCAGGGGCCACCTCCCTGTGCTTCGTCTACCCGCTGGACTTCGCCCGGACCCGCCTGGCCGCTGATGTTGGCGGCGGCGGCAAGCGTGAGTTTAACGGCCTCGGCGACTGCCTGAAGAAAATCTACAGGGCCGACGGCATGTACGGACTGTACCGCGGCTTCGGAGTGTCTGTCCAGGGCATCATCGTCTACCGCGCCGCCTACTTCGGCTGCTTCGACACCGCCAAGGGCATGGTGCCAGCCGAGTACAACAACTTCTTCGTGACCTGGGCCATCGCCCAGGGAGTGACCACCGCCTCCGGAGTCATCTCCTACCCGTTCGACACCGTGCGGCGCCGCATGATGATGCAGTCTGGCCGCAAGGAGCTGCTCTACAAGAACACCATCGACTGCTGGAAGAAGATCATCAAGAACGAGGGCTCGAGCGCACTCTTCAAGGGGGCCTTCTCCAACATCCTCCGCGGCATGGGCGGCGCCTTCGTGCTGGTCCTGTACGACGAGATCAAGAAGGTCTTGTAAGACGACTTAGAACAGCATCAGTTCCTTAAAGATCGTAGGAATGGTGTTAATTTTGATGATTGACATTCCAGAATATGGAATGAGACTCTGTGATATTTAATCTTATAATTGCTTGTAGATAGTGGCTGTTATATTGCTATTTATTGCCACTTATAAATTTATGTTTTAGAGATATAATATATGTTGGAATCGAAATATTTCTAAAATTGTATTTCTGAACTGTGTTTTAATGAAATTATGAAATTATCACACTTGTAATTGTCAGAATTTATCCGTACACAGAAGTTTATCTACTTCTGTGTACAAATCATGTGAAACGATATCTTGTAAAAATATTGTACGTATATATAGTCTTTAACTTAAATTGTAAGAAGTTTGTCTATTCAGAATAAACTATCGAAAACTTTATATTTTTGTTGGTCTTTTATGACTGCATGGTTGATAGAATGATGAATGAATGATGAATAAATTGATAGATTGGTGGATGGATGGATGGATGGATAGATTGAAATGAATAAGTAGCTATAGCTAGATAAATGTTTACACGAAAAGATTGAGTGCATGAATGGATTAATGAATTTATATTAGCTGGTGGATACATACGGGTGGATCAACAGAATGAATTTGAATGAATGAATGATTGAATGAATGATTGAATGAATGAATGAATAGATGGTTGAACGATTGTTTGGATCAATAGAATGAGTGAATAGATGAATGGACAGATGAACGAATGGATGTTTGGATCCATAGAATGTGCGAATGACTGGAAAGATGAATGAACGAGCGATTGGATCAATAGAATGAGTTAATGAAAACGAATAAATGAATGTGGTGGTGAACAGACGGCAGCTGCCATGACGCCTAGATAGAAATAAATGAATGGAAGGAAAGAGAACCTAGCTATATGATGAAAATCCCATACCACAGTACATTGTACACCGAATAGATGGACGATCGACATAACTCAGATGGCTTGTTTATCCAGAATTTCACGATCGTCAGTTTATAAAACATCTGTCTGCGGATTTCTAAATGATTAATGATATCCTTTCACAACTGTGCATTCCCAGACGACAGTCACGGGTCATCTACTCTCCAAGCAGAGGTTTGGGTTTGGGGTTATTTTTGGCGTGTTTGTAGGCTTTTTATCGGGGTTTCTCTTTTGCATTGGAATTTTTTTCACCCAACCCCAAAACAATTCCAGTGCAAAAGAGAAACCCCGATAAAAAAAGCCTACAAACACGCCAAAATAACCCCAAACCTCTGCTTGGAGAGTAGACGCCTTCTGTCTGTAGTTTGTAGATACATCGCAAGATGTCGCCTCGCCCATAAGGTCGAAGGTCACGCACGTGAAACTAGGAAGTAGCCACAACATTACACGTTAGCAAAAATATCTTTGTGAACATTTTGAGATGAGCCAAACTGTCTAGAGATAAAACAAGTCTTGAAATCGTTTTGCAAATTCTTTTCTTTCGGAGGAATTTCCTTAGGCTCCGCCCACTATTACCATAAATAGGCATATGCTTAGACCACGTGGCCCTCAGGAGCGGTATTTTCCACTGGCACACATACACATCCGTGTCATTTGCCGGCTTGGCTTGCTCAAAGAAGGACCTCGCATCTCTAAACCAAAACCATGTCGCCTCCTAGCATCAAGAAAATCCTGATTAGCGACAGCGTCGCCCCCGAATGTAAAGAAGTTTTGGAAAAGGCGGGAATTGTGGTGGACATGAAGACGGACATGACGAAGGAGGAGCTTTGTGAGAAAATTAAGGTGGGTTCAAGTTGCATCATGCACATAGGATATATTTTTCCTCGATCAATTTCTGAATGCACAAGCGGTTTTTGTTATTCGGTTTCTTGTATATTCTCACAGATTGCGTTTATATCAACGTTAGACCATAAGAAATATATATTGCCATTTACCAAGTGGGTCATGCTTGTACGTCCACGGCCACGCTCCAGCTATCTTTTTCAAAGGGTTTAGAAATTCGAGCCGGCTCTTTCCCAAGTCGAGCCTGCTAGCTAGATACTCACGTGCAGACCATGTGTAATATAAAACTGAACAAATATCCGCCAACTGTTGCATAAAAATCACTTTTTACCACGACATTTACAATTTGTCACGATTTCATAAACTTTGCGATGTTTCTAATTTATTGTGAGAAAGAGAGCTTTGTGTTTTGGGAAGAGGATTTGGAAAGGTGGGAGGGGGGCGGTTTGGGGGCGGCTGCCACGCCGCGTATATATTTTACAGCGTAATTTCGTTCTATCACTGCGAGAATGGATGCCACGCATTCCACACACCGTCTGATATAACAGCGGCGGTCGGCTGGGGACGGCTTGGGGATTTTCCACCGTCACATGTGACGGGAGCCCGCACGTGTGTCCGTCGGGTTAATGATTGATGGAGCCCCGCCTAGCCTCGCCTGACAGCCCGATACTGGGTCAGGACGACTCTGGCGTTTGTATGAGCCCTACAGCGATCTTTTGACACAATTTTGACAATGTTAGGAGGGTTGATGCCAGACTTCTAGCACGGGAGGCGATATCAAATCCTTCGGGAAAAGAAAAATACGTCCCAAACCAGAGTTAGACATCTTGCGTACTCAAGGGGGATGTGGTAAAATTTCCTTGGGGGCATGTTGGCCTTGGAGCCTAGGATCTGGCCTGTGAAGGCCCTGTAAAAGCCTGGAAACAGTCAGGGGTTTCAGGCTAGTGGTATCGAGGTCCTATAGACATTGGCACGCTGCTGGAGACACACAGACAGTGTGTGTGTTGTTTTTTGGCTGCCATGTGTGAAAACCAGGCCACATAGACAGCTCTGCCACGTTGCTCTGTATCAAACAACTGTCAAAACACAAAACAGTTTGGTGTTTACTTACCGGTATTGTCTGTATTGTAATATCTGTCTTTTGAACTCCTTTGTTAGAGTACGGACAGGGGAAGGGGGTCTAGAAGGGTCTAATCATCAGCTGTTTTGATTTTACATAATTTTCAATGGGCTGACACTCAAGTTGAGCCATCTAAACTTGCATTGACCCTATTAGGACTACTGTGGTTACCAGCTAGTATACAGACAAGACCCCCCATAGGTGACACATTTGTGATCTCAACTCAAGGTTAGAAGTGGGGCCCCTGTCAATTGACTATATGTTTATATGTATATATGTATAATGACTATAATATCCATTTATATATATATATGGCCTCCTTGGGTCAGTTGACTTTTACTATCACCAAATTGACTACATTGGGTCAATGACAAATTACTAAAGTGCTTGATGTCAGACAAATTACAGCCAATTAGACCTCAGACCAATTCATCTCCATAAATTCTCAGATGACATTAAGCATGTTTTAATTAAAAGACCCCATCTAGAAAAGTCAGAATGACTACGCTTTCTGACCTATCTAAACTTTAAACCTAAGAAGTTAATGATTAACTTCTAATGAATCGTTATCTTTCCTCTTCTGTGTTTGATTGCTACTTTAAACATGTTTGAAGTGTTTGCAGTGCGTAGTACCCTGTGGTGTTACAAGGGTGATGCAATGATTTAAACAAACATTTGCTTGTGACGCAATTTACACACAAGCAAAGACCTGACGGTACGAAAACTGTAGCCCCACGTGGGTCGCAAATTGGAGCTTCTATGGCCCTGGATCTTCTCTGGTATACTATCCCTTTATTTCGGCCAATTTCTACTATTTTTCTAGCGATCCGCGGTGCCTGGTAGAGGCTACGAAAACTGCATGTGCATGCGAGCGTACGAAAACTATGTAGATAAAAAATTCCTGCTTGTGAATTGGCCTGCTTTGATGTACGTCAAGAACGTATGTAACGTCAGATTGTACGCCAGCCTTCGAGGTAACGTACAATCTGGTTGTTAAACCAGCTCAGGCCAACTTATACACAGGAAACTTTTGACATAGGCAACTTTCTCACGCTCATTTGCGTGTGGGATTTCCAGCACTGAACTGCAATCGCTACGAAGACAAATTCCATTATCCATAACCAGCCTGGTCGAGTCTAGGTTTATAATAAGCTTTGTGGAATATTCCTGCAACTTTCAATTCATCCACCAACCGTAAGCTTCAAGGACACTTCCATTACGTTTGTTAATTCCCCTGTAATAGAACGGGTGATGTGCTCACTGGTGCCAGCTGCGCACCGATACCGATCACTGCATTTGACATCACTTGGCCACCTTAAGCTCCTTTAGTTGACATTGATAGGTTGAACAGAAAGGTCGATCAATATGGATTGAAGGTACTGTGTAGGGCTATTGGTTATCAGCACTAAAATATTATCAGGTTTTAGCAGGTGATGACATCATATGGGGCTTATTGCCTTAATTTCATTGTGATTTTTCTTGTCTGTCTGTCTGTGACAGTCTAGATTTGTGCGTGTGTGTGAGTGTGTGTGTCTGTATGCTCTGCCAGAGGGTGCTTGGCAGGAGGGGGTGTAGTCTCTGATTGCCTTACAAAGTTCACAAGGGTTCTATGTTTTGACAGCCAGTATCATGGCATGGCTGTCACTGTGACTTGTACTTTTCCCCATTTCTCTTTCTCATGTCTCAAACAATTGGCTGGATTCTACCATTAAATTATAGTGAAAGAGAGGGATTACCTGTCCTTGTACCCTTCACCCCCATTACAGTTTACCCAACCGTGTAATGACAGAATTTATTACCTGTAACCCCCTCAGGAGGGACAAAGCTTTTCATTTGATGGAGTCGTTTACTCCAAAGCGTTCCTGCCTACTATCGAGGGTAGATAGCGGGGGATCATCCATTGGCAATTACCCGAGTGACGCAAGTTCCCGCGGGTGATCGATTTGAAGAGTTTGGGAAATTTCCATCACGTTAACTTTACGAGGTTTTGCACTGCATAAAGGAGGTTTCTGCAGTGTAGGTAAATTGCATGTCAAAGACGACAATTTAGCATATGACAATCAGGATAAGTTGTAAATACTCTGACTAGTTTGTAGATTAAAAAGAGAAAAATCAAGAGTGACGCAAGTTCCCGCGGGTGATCGATTTGAAGAGTTTGGGAAATTTCCATCACGTTAAGTCGGATCGAGGTGCTTTGTGAGTTTATAGGGTTTTGCACTGTGTGAAGGAAGTTTCCATGGGGTTAAATGGAATAGGTAAATAGATAAATATGGATATAAACATACGTGTACATCGTTATGTGTATATAGATATACACAAACTTCTTTCTTCATACTTTCATTAAAGAATGATGTTGTGTCTTTCCTGTATACTGAGCCCCTTTAGTTGGAAAAACAACTGAAAACCCAGCAGTTTGAGTTAAATCCATTTGACTACAAATGGCAGCAGGAGGTGGAGGAGAAGAAACACGAGAAAAAACAATATATTTCATCCATACCGTATGGACTATGGAGTGAAATATGATGATAAAGCATGTGACCATAGTCCCACGAGTTCAGCAGAGAAGTAGAGACAACAACAACATCCAAGGTTGTTTCAGAATTTGGATATTACCATATAGCAAAAGTTAGTTGGGAGAAGTTTAAAACCTTGCAGCCAAATGTCTGAAAATGTGTTCTATTGGTAATTACATTTCAATTTTGTTTCAGAGTCTTAAAATTTGGTTTCTCTCCTCAGGGTTACGATGGGCTGATCGTCCGTTCGGCCACCAAGGTGACGGCCGACGTGATCGGGGCCAGCGACTGTCTGAAAATCGTGGGTCGTGCGGGAACCGGCGTGGACAATGTGGACATTCCCTCCGCTACCAAGAAGAACATCGTCGTCATGAAGTAAGTCAGGCTAGGGCAGGGCTGTGCACTTATAAATACATTGTAAGTGTTGCATTGTAACACCCGTGGCAGGTCCAAACTAGCCTGGGTGCCACTCTCCGTGGTTTCCACTGGCTCCCTAATGTAGTGGCCAGCAGCATTAGGGAATATACAGAAACTACAGAGGATTGCATCCAGGCTAGGTCCAAACAGTAACATCTGGTGTACATGTACCTGATCAAATCTGAATGGTATGGTACAGAAAATCATTGTATAAGAAAACCTAGCTGGATATAGTTAGGTAGATGACCACTTAGCATATGAAAATCAGAATAACTTGTAGATACTCTAATTTTTAGATTGAAATATGTAAACCTCATACAATGAATGTATATCATACAATACAGATTCATTCATTGTATGTGACCCTTTCACAACCCCCTCCCCCCCAGCACACCCGGAGGAAACACACTGAGTGCTGCAGAACACACCTGTTTCCTCATCGGAAGTTTAGCAAGGTCAGTATTGCTATTTTCAGTTCACTGTGTTATCAAACCACGATGCCACTTAATAAAGACTGATGCTTCATATCAAGCATGTCCATCCAAGTGGATCAAACCTTACAGTCTTGAAAAGGTGATAAGTCACCTGGTATGTCAATACTTACATAAATGTGATAAGTCTTTGTAAGTATAGTGTGAATGTAATTTCAGAAATCTAACCACATGCGATTGATAATTGTTTTAACTTGTTTGTATTTTTCCAGGCAAATCCCGCAGGCTCACATGTCTATGAGGGAGGGCAGATGGGATAGGAAAAAGGTGAGAAACTGTCAAAAAAGTTTTATTATGAAGCCAAGAAATGAATGGAAGTTTTGTCACACTTTGTCTGTTAAAGCTGAAGCAATAGCCCTATAGAAATACAATGCAGTCCTTTTATTATTTGTGGTAGATCTAAAGTCTTTGGTCAGTGCTCTAATGTAACATGTGTCTTTTTTTGTTTCTGCAGTTCATGGGTAATGAGCTGTATGGGAAGACATTAGGCATCATCGGCCTGGGGAGGATCGGCAAGGAGGTGGCTCTGAGGATGCAGGCATTCGGCATGACGGTGAGACCAACAACTTCTGCTTTCAATAGAATTTTAGAGGGCAATTACAAACTACATGTACTACTAACAGTTAAACCTGTACTACAGATCACCTAGCCTCTATCAAGCTTTAGAGGCAGATGGAAAGAGTTGAAAGTGGTGAAGTATATAAGGGGGTTTATAAGGGAGTTGGTCTACTAAAGGAGTACAGTTTGCCACTCTAGATTCTTAATACAAGAACAAGGGAACTCCCAACTGGTTTCAGAGCGGCAAACTGTACTCCTTTAGTAGATGTGACCACGTTTTGGTGGTTCCTTCGATTATTTTCCCCATTGACCAAGAATCCTGACCAGAGTGACCACCTGTCCACCATTTTTTTCATTCCCTTATTTGTTCACAGACAGATTTAACTGTATATGTGCTAAATAATGTAGCTTTAAAAGGGCATATGCCATTCTGAATAGAATGATCAGTTGTGCATGTCAGGAAAATACTAAATATTTCCAGTGGCAGCTGCTAGTGGCATGCTATGTTATGTTGAGTATTGACAACAGCTGGTAGCTTCAATATGTGATGCCTCCAGTCATTCATCAACAATTTACCACTACAAAAGACAGTTGGCTACAAGTCTAACTTGGCTACAAGTACAACCATTGTATGTGCCAGTTGTGAACCTCCTAAGAAAATACAATACATTCAACTGATCAGTGTTCTAGCCAGGGTCTGTCTTTCTGTCCTTTGACTGAATTTTGCCGCTCAGGATTGACAAAAATTTTACCCAATTCATCATCATTGACAGATATAAATTGGCATGTAAAGATATGGAAGAACATGTCATTAAAGTAAGCTTAGTCTACCAGCAAAATTTGCCCCTTGAAGTGCAGAAAATAGTCTTAACAGCAAAGGATATTTAGGTTAGTTGTTGAAACTTGAATATTTCTCAGGAGTTCTTTCCAAGAAAATTAAACTTTAAATTTTAAGGCAAATATTTTTTGTTGCAGACAATCGGTTATGACCCTATCATTGATGCCAAGACGGCGTCAGAGTTTAATGTGGAGTGGATGGATCTGGAGCAACTGTGGCCCAAGTGTGACTACATCACTGTCCACGTGCCACTCATCCCACAGACACAGAGTAGGTTTCTACAGCATAAACCTTCCCTTATGTCATACTTGGGTTTTATACTAAAGTATGGTAATTGTATAGTATTGTTAAAACAGTTTACTAAGTTTACTATAGTACAGTTTAAAACAGTATAATATAGTAAAGTATAGGATAGAATAGTATAGTTCATGTATCATACATATACATGTAGTATAGTATAGTGTAAGTGGCCAGTAGTAGGTGCAAGGGGCTAGTTCTGGCCTAGGCATTTAGGCAGGCAGGCATAGTATAGTGTAGTAAATTACAGTACAGTGTTCTAGAGCAGCTGATTAGACTGATGAGCATGGTACAATGTGTACAAAGTATCAGATGTTTTGGAGAGCAATGCATACAGATGGGTTGTAATGATGGGCTCCACTGGTTTTTAGCTTGCTTTCGGGAAGGTTTCCCCTTGGCACAGTCCCCTGAGGGTTAATTACGTCAATGGGTTAATACTGATAGTGATCAGTGTGCATGCTGCCTGTGTATGTGGGGCTTTGATAACAAGCATGTAATCTATAACCCACAAAAAAGATTATAGGATTTAGATTATAGGATAATTGGGAAATTTTATTTGGAACACAGGCAAATGCAGTACTTGTAAAAAGTAAAACTACTAAACTACTTCTAGCTGTTGCTACATATTGCTTCCACTTCAAGCTTATGTTTCAGGGCACTTTAGAATATTTTAACAGTACTGTTAAGTACATCAGTTTGTGCATGGGGTTGTCTAAATTGGGTCTGTGTGTACACGTGTATCAAAACCACCCATGAGGGTTTCAAGACTCACAGTATGTTGCATGTTCTGCTTGTACTTACTTACCAACTCGCGGCATGTTTCTCACCCAAGATATGCTGTGTGACGAGACGTTTGCTAAGTGCAAGGACGGCATGCGGGTTGTCAACGTGGCACGGGGCGGGATTTACGAAGAAGCGGCGATATTGCGAGCTCTGGAGTCTGGGAAGTGTGCAGGGGCAGCTCTGGATGTGTGGGAGAAGGTATGCAACAGTACACGTACATGAAGAGTTCAGGGTGTGTATGTATTGACCTGTTTGTTCCAAGATCACAGGCTTACAAAAAAACACCAATTCTCATATTTCATTCATCCCAAACAGATCTTTTGGTGGCTGCAAGAAAGTATCAAATGGGTAGGCAGCATTAAATTGGCGAGGCAGTATCCATTTGCCACCCACTTTGGCTGGCGTAGAAAAAGATACTGTACCTGTACAAGAAAGGGCCAATCAAGGGGCCTGAAAACATGTCAATGATAAGCATGAAGCCTAAACCTCTGCTTGGAGAAAAAGATTTCAATAGATCATTTAAAAAGAAATGGTTTTGCTATATCTAAACAAAATGCTAATTTATTTTTCATTACAAACACATACATATGAGCAAGCTAGCTTGTGATCTTCAACCAAACAGTTCAATTCTCAGCCCACCTCAGCAAATACAACTTAAACCTCATTCTTCCCCCCCCCCATACACCCTTCGACCTCTCCCTAGACCTGATGAACGAGGCGGTGTTTGGGAAGTGCAAACAGGGCCTGAAGGTCCTGAACGTGTCGCGGGGCGGGATCATCTCGGAGGCGGACCTGCTGAAGGCGTTGGAGGCGGGAACCATCGCCGGCGCCGCCATCGACACCTGGGAGCAGGTCGGTCCTGGCTGCAGGGCATGATGGGATACTGTGACCTCTAACCCCTTACACAGTACATGTATGTGCATGACCTGCACTGTGCCTGCACATTTCGGCTGAATGTTTCACAGGTTTTGTTGGATGTTTAATGTACGTTGCATCAGAATTTTGCCGGTAGCAGACAATGTCTTTTCCGACACTGCATATGAAAACTATAGAGGGGATGTCATCTGTAAAAATTCCTGCATGGTAATAATTCTGCAACCTAATGATGAACAAATATCCAACAAAAACTGGCTTTCACACAGGCACAGTATGTTCCTGGTGATGTGTTACTGAAATGTATTGTAACTCTGATGAGCCTTTTCAGAATGCTGGGGTATGTGAGCATTGTTTGAAATAATCGTTTTTTATTACAGATTTGTTTCAGTGCTGCAGTTCAACACAAAATACACATGTTGCTACTTTTACAATTTGCACTACACACTCTGTTAAGGAATGTAGGAATTTCAATGTGTGCCATAACAGCAAGTAAATGTTTCTAGGGAAGAGAATGAGTGAGTGGAATGCTGGTTCAAGATGAGCACTTGGACCACCGCAAATAATTCATGCTTGTGCTTTTCTTCAATTTTGCTGTATGATTGGACTCAACATGAACCCCACACAAACTAAATTACCTTCAGTCATTCAAGGCATACATGTACACTGCACAACTGAGTACAACCGTAGTGTGCCTTGAATGACACTCGTACCTGCTCCAATCATACCTGCACTAGCCTGCATATACAAGTGGTAGTACATGTATGAGTTCTGATAGTGATGATTGGTTCGTATGTCAATAATTCAAAAGAAGTGGTGAGAACTTTGATTTGAACTCAATATCAAATTCAATCTTTTCCATCGTCCCCTCCAGGAGCCGACCACTAACACTGCGCTGGTGCAGCACCCTAACGTGATTGCCGTGCCCCACCTGGGCGCCAACACACGGGAGGGCCAGCGCCGCTGCGCCATCGAGATCGCAGAACAGATCGTGGACTGGGTCAACGGCAAGGGGCTGGTCGGCGCGGTAAGGGAACTTTTTTGTTGTGCTGAATTTCTATTATTTGACAGAATTTCTCTGCTCATCACAGGCGAAAATTTCCCCCGGTTCATTATCTTTGATAGACACAGACACGCTTCCCCCGAAAAGGAAACTGAAAGCCTTCTGTAATTTTTTCACCAAAACAGATGTCGTTAAACTAAGCTTAGTCTACCAGCAACTTTGGCCCTCAAAGCGCAGGAGATAGTGTTTCAGGGGGTAAAGATTTTCTTGGAGGATGCCCCCAGACCACCCTAGGATGCCATTGGTGCTCCACATGATGGAAAAATTGAATGCATGAAAACTGCTGTTCTGTCATATATGTATTCAGCAATGCACTACAACCCTCTGTATTTTCTTTTCAGGTCAATGCCAGAGATCTGAAGCTGTAAGATGTCACCCTGACTCACTGCCAGAACATCCGAACAAGAACAGGAAAAAACAAACATAGCTTACAAGACAGCTTACAAGAAAAAGAAAGAAGTTTCTGATGAGAAGTACTTATTTTCTGACTTGGAAGACTTTTTACTTTGTCTAATTTTTTTCTGTGTACAGTCATGAGATGTAACTTGACAGTGGAGGAATGGTGTGGATATGTACATTGTATACATATTACTGACTAAGAAAGATTCAACAAATAAGTATAGTCTCTCCTTGGTGTAGCTTGTTTCTGTTCTTTTTGTAACTAGGCAGAATAGAAATGGTTCCTATGGAAAGAAAAACTCTTGAAATTCATTCAAGTCCATGACTTTCTGTAAGAAATGCAGATCATGAATGTAATGTAATGTTTTGACTGTACATGTAAGCAATCTCCAAGCATAGGATGAGGAGGGTGGTTGAAGATGTCTGCGAAGCCTGGCAGTCAGAAATAGTTATCTGTACTGTATAGCCAGTATTATCACCCTTTGCTGTAACATACCAGTATCTGTACTGTATACTGTATAGCCAATATAATCACCCTTAGATGTAACACATCCTCCATCTGCTTTGAGATTAGGACTTTTCATTCAAAACAAGACAATAAAAAGCAACGCTCTTTTGTGTAAGCCAGATGAACACCTTTCTTTGTGATTGTTTTAACAATTAACTCTTGAATTGTAAATGACATACTTAATGAAGCAAAGTCTTGGTACATTAATAGTTTTGATTTCCTGTGTGGATAGTCATTGCTTTGTGTGTTATGTTACAAAAACATAGCAAAATGGTTTATGGCGCATATTGGTTCTAAATTATGGTTAGCGGTCTGTGATGTTATGATAACAAAAGGCAAAGTGTGACTGATATCAAGCTTCTCATTTAAAGTGCCATCTTTAGGGGACTATTGAGAAAAAAGCAAGCAATGCTTGAAACATTCGGAGTGACCAAAGGTTAAGGTAAGGTTACTTTTGGTGGTACATGTGTCCAGCTTTTGCTGTCTTCCTATCTAATTCTGTGGAGAAACTTTAGAAATAAAGTTTACGTTACCCTGGATGGTGGTGGTGTCACATTTTTGATAAGTTTATTACTATGTATGAAGGTCTTGATTTCTTTGACTTTCTTTTCGCCTCCACCAGGCTTCAGAAGTGGCTGGCCGTTTAAGAATTTTGTCACATTTTTTTGCTAACTCATCTAAGAATTATTTCATTAGGTCTCTTTTATTTATAGTACTCTTATTCTATTAGTTAACGAAGGATAAACAAAATAACAACACACCCCGAACCCTTGGCCTATACAACAGTAGAATACTGATAATGTAACCCCTGCACCAGTTGTAATCTCACTGTAGTGCTGAGTCCTGACAACATACTAGTACTTAAGTGAAGTATGAATCTCCCTTGAGTTTGAATCCAGTTTACGACATACTGCATAAGATTACAGCTTAACAATTTTGAATGTCTGAGTATCTTTACGAATTAATTTCCACAAAAATGCAATTACCAAACAAAGCCAACAGTGTGAGTGTTCTTATGTGTTTTCAGAGCACCCAGCTGACTGAACTGCTTGCCACAGATGATACACATGTAGGGTTTCTCGCCGGTATGGGTTAGTTTGTGTCTTTTCAGATTTGACAGGCGACTAAACTGCTTGCCACACTGGTCACAAATGTGAGGTTTCTCTCCGGTGTGAGTTTTCAAGTGTTTCTTTAGCGTGTCTGTGTACTTAAACTATTTGTCGCACAGATCGCAACTGTAGGGCTTTTCACTGCTGTGGGTGTATCGGTGGATTTTCAGAGCATGTTTCTCAACAAACCCCTTGTGGCAAATCTCACACTTGTGAGGTTTCTCCCCGGTGTGTGTCCGTTTGTGTCTCCTAAGGTTGCTCTGATCGCTGAAGTTTTTGCCACACTCGTCGCAGGTGTAGGGTTGCTCCCCAGTGTGAGTTCGCAGATGGCTCTTGAGCTGGCCCTGGCCGCTGAACTGTCGACCGCACTCATCACACATGAAGGGTTTCTCACCGGAGTGGGTCCGCATGTGGGTCCTCCACGCGCTGTGCTGGCTGAACGCCCGGCCGCACTGCTCGCACTTGTAGGGTCTCTCCCCCGTGTGGGTCCGCAGGTGGCTCTTGAGGTCGCCCAGCCGGCTGAACTGCCAGCTGCACACCTCACACATGAAGCGTTTCTCACCTGGGTGTTTTGTCTGCGTGTGGCGTTTCTTCCCAGGCTGTTTTTCCATGTGGGTATTTCCGCCCTCCCCCTCCTCATACTGGTCCTCTTCTTCTAGTAGTTCTACTCCATCTACTTCCTCTTGCATTTCCTGTTCTTCCTCTTGCCAGTCTTGCATCTTCCTCCTCTTGCCCTTCTTCCTTTTTGCTGACATGTCGGAGGTGAATTCAACAGTAACTTCTACACTGTCAGAAAAGACATTTGTAAAATAGTTTCATCAGGTTGGTAAATCACTGCAAACAAACATGTAGTTTTCTAAGGTACACAACCTTATTTCTTCTCTATCGTTGTCATGACCAAGGAGGTTTGCAATACACAACCTAACCTTGTCATGATACAAGTCAAAATACGACCATGAAAAAGCACACACTAGTACATGTATATAAAACTTGTAGAAATGAGAAGCCCATGTCACACATTCAGAACCTTCTCCCGCCCCTAAAGGTCTACCCGTGCTCTATGCAGAGCATAGGGTTTTGGTGCCCATGTCCATTTCTGTAGCCCTTCCCGCCTGCAATATCTGAAATATCCTTACTTGGGGCTTGATATTCGTCAAATCACAATAAATGAATAAGTAAACAATGTACATGTAATTCAGTCTACATGATTTTGTATGACGTAATCGTCTACAACAAAATGGTGGCTCATAAAGATCATAAGAGGGTTCAACAGTATCCAGATTTTTTTTACCTTTTTTCTTTTATATTTTTCAGATGAAATTCAGAAAATACCGGAATCATGACCCTACACCTTAATAGAAACACCTCACATCCGAAATATCGCATAAATTATCCCCGGGGTACATATATCACTTATAATCAGCTCGGTGCCGCTTTAATAAAAAAAGAACGTGGCTATTTACACTCCCGGTGTGTAAATAAAATCTATTTGTCTTTTATATACACTCCGGGAGTGTAAATAAAATCTATTTGTCTTTTATATACACTCCGGGAGTGTAAATAAAATCTATTTGTCTTTTATATACACTCCGGGAGTGTAAATAAAAGACAAATAGATTTTATTTACACTCCCGGAAAGTTGATAGGGCAGACATTCGAATGATCTGTCGCCGGTGGGTTATCCAGAGTCACCAAAGGGACCGGGGCGAACCCCGGGTTGGTCTTGGTCTGATAGATGCACGCCAGGCCGTGAGGTCGGCGCTTCTTCCGCATGTATTAGCTCTAAAATTACCACAGTTTATCCATGTAGGATGTGACGATCAAAGGAACCATAACTGATTTAATGAGCCATTCGCAGTTTAACTGAGACAGTTTAAACTTGCACGTGCATACCTTTGCTCACAAGTATGCCAGAGTATTGTTCCCTACTTGCTCCTGGGTCATGCAGGCTGACAAGTCTGTGTGTGTAAGGTTTACAACGTCGAGCATCCAAGTACATACCGGTACATATACTTGCTGCAGGTCCTGAGCTACCTCTGTAACTAACTAACTAGCTAAAATGCTTATAAATTTTGGACATCAGGTCGAAGATTGTAATACAGGTCTAAAGATGACTCATATTCCATCGCAAATTGATGCCTTACATGCTAGTGTTATCAGGCGGTTAATGGATAACTCAGAGGGGGACTGGAAGATACTTCCACGTCTGTTTCTTAACAGTTTTGGAAAAGATTTCCTTATTCTAAATATGCAATTTAAAGACAAACGGGATTGTCCTAACATGGAACACATACCTTTGTACTACAAACATGTTATCTGTAGTTGGCACAAAGCGATAGGCAGAAATATGTTAGAACCCGAGAAATGGAAATTAATACAGTCACCTCTATGTAACATCTGTTTGGAAATAGAGGACGAAAACCATATGTTCTTTCAATGTAAAAGACTTAAAAATTTTTGGAAAAATACTGAACATCATAATACTGAAAAAATAC